ACATAAGGGTCCCCCCGTATGTGTTTTTTGAAATTTTCAAAACTTGTGGAATGACAGGCCGGGCCGGGCCTCCGAAATTCGGGAAAAAGGCCCGTTACAAGTATGGAAATTTTGGAATATTTTAATTTCGAAAATGTCCGAAAATTCCGATTTTAAGGATTCTAGTATTCCGGAATGTAACGATTTGGAAATTTTCTGAAAATTCCAGTTTTGAAAAATTGGAATTTTTAACATTCGAATTTTATAATAAAAATTCCATATTTCCATTTCAAAAACGTCGAACATTGATGAAAGTTGTCAAAAATGTGATTCCGCTCGAGACCCACAAGAAAATTCTACGCGTGCGCCTTTAAAATACTGTAGTCCACAAATTTCCAATTCCGCAGAAAAAAATCGTAAAAATTCCGTTCCGAACAACCCCGATCCCAGATAAAACGAAAAATTTTCAGGAAAAATGTCCTCCGACGAAGAAGAAGAGTTTGAGATCGGTGCAATTTTGCATCGAATGGAGTTTGACAAGCTGATCGACAAAGCGCTAGCATCCGAAGCGAAATTCAGTCCAGACTCGGTGGATCAAGGCAAATTCAAACACTCGAAATACGCGTATCTCGTGCATTGGAAGGGCTACACCGTCCAAGACCGAACATGGGAACCCGAGTCGAACCTCAAAAAGACTGGTCCATTGGCCGTGTACAAGGCTGAACACAATATGCCAGAAGGACATCAAAAGTTCGAGAAGACGTACGGAAGTGCTGTATGGAGGAATCTGGGATTGGCAGCGGATAAAGTGAAGGGTTATCGATATCTGTTGAGTCCACAGGAGAAGCGGGAGCAGAGGGAGCGAAGAGAGAGGCTGGAAAGGATGAACAAGCTGAGACAGAAGGAAGAGAGAAGGAGAAGAGAGGCTGCTAGGGAGAAAATGGTGACTCCAGATGATCCGGAACGGTTGTTCAAGAAGAAAAAGAAGAAGAAAAGGGAGTCGGATGGAGAAGGACCATCACGATCTTCAGAATACAGAATTCCCAAGAGAAAACGCTCGGTGACTCCAGAACCATCGCCTAGCATCTGCGTTCAGACGGTAAAATTGGCTTTTTGTTTTTTCCAAGTTTTGAATTTTTCAGACCTCTACCGCCGACAGCAGATCACCACCGTCCAGGAACCACGGAGCATCGTCTTCGATGAGTTCTAGCAGCAACGACAGTTTGAAATCCGGGGACAAGGAGGTTATTTCTAGCACTAAATTTTAAAATGTTTTATTATGGACGGAGCTTAATATCAGAACTTTTATGTGGAATATTTGCTCAAAAGTGGGCGGAGCTAAAATCCACTAGAACTGATTTTCACACAATACTCTTTTTTTGTTCTTAAAAGTGGGCGGAGCCTAACTTCTCTGTTTTTATTCAGAAAATCTGTTCAAAAGTGGGCGGAGCTTCACTCAAAATTTCGCTTTTTCGACTTTTTTCAAAGTGGGCGGGGCCAAAACTCGATGACCCGATTTTGACTATTTTTGTCTCTAAAAATTGACAAATCTCGAAAAATCGCTCCTCGTTCATTTCTGGGAACTTTAAGAATGTTCTCGAATCTTTTTTTTTGAATTCCCGCCAAAAACTGAAAACTCAGACAATAGCTATTTTTCGAGAAAAAAATTTTGAATTTTTCTTTGATTTTTCGCAAAATTTATAGACATTTTTAGGGTTTTCAGCTATTTTTGATAATTCTTCTTCGATTTTTCCGAATTTTTGCCTGAAATTTGACAGCATGGTGTTCGCGAAGATTACTGTAGATTACTGTAGGAAACGAATTTTCTTGTAGTCTGTAGTTTTCAGAATCACGTCAAAAACTGATTGTGTTTGCAAGAAAACTCTAAAAAAGAAATTCGATGGCTACAGTAATCTTCGCGAACACTATCCTGTCAAATTTCAGACAAAAAACCAGAAGAATCAAAAAAGAATTATCAAAAACAGCAGAAAAACCAAAAAAGGTCTGAAAATTTTGCGAAAAATCGAGGAAAAATCTTTTTTTTTTCTCAAAATATTATGCTTGTCTGAGAAAAAAAAGGTTGAGACGCAGAGAAAAAGTGTCTGCGTCTCCTCCTTATGTGTGCTATTTAGGCTCTCCGCTTCGATATCGCTACCGTATTTAGACTGCAAAAAATACTCTCTAACCTTTTTTTTTCTCAGACAAGCATAATACCCCGAAATTCCAATTTTTCAGAACTACGAAATTTACGGAATTCAAAGATTTTCAAATACAAAATATTCCGAAAATCCGAAGTTGTAGAATTCTGAAATTTTTAAAATTGGAATTTACTTTAATTACGAAATTCCGAAAATTTCAGAAAACAAGACAAGCTCGTCCAGGAATCCAACCACTGGATTTGAAATCTCCACGAATTAAAAAGAAGAAACAAGAAGCTCCAGTGCCGAGAACTCCAGGATATGACGACGTCTCACCACAGCCTGTTAGAAATTTCGAACTTCCAAAGTCAGAACCTCCTCGAAGATCCATTTCCACTGATAGCTGTATGAAGATCAAAATCAAGAGGAATTCCGACGGAGGGTATGAAGCAATTCCCCCTCAACCGATCCCAGTTCCGAGTGCCCAATCAAGCCAGAATAGTACCATTTCGTCATGTACCACATCAGAAGAAGAGGAGGAAATTGAAGAAAATAGCCAAGAAAAGCTAGAAAAACACATTGAAACCGCTCAGAAATACATGAAGAAGCTCAAAATCGAGATGAAAGAAGAGTTCCCGGTACAAATCGAAGCTTCTAGACGGTCCCGATCTTTCTCCACGGCACTAGACCAACGGAAACATCGGCGATGTCAATCTGCAGAATGTCTCAACGACTTCTTTAATCAGCGATGTGATTTGGAACTGTTCGGAAAGAATTTCGAAAAGTGTTCTTTAGTGAAAAAAGGTTTTCCGGCAGCGGTAATCAGAAAATATCCGAAAGAAGAGAAGAAAATGATAGTGAAGAACAAGATTCGAACACAATCGGACTTCAAGAAAATAGCAGAAGAGAATCAAGAGGCGATCAACAAGATCCAGCACCCGTTCAAAAAGCGATTAGAGACTCTGCTACCAGAACTAGTCAACGCTTACTCTTACGACGACAACTCCAGATTCAAGGAGCTATTCGAAGCCAATATTCCAAAGAAAGGAGTCTTCGATCCGCATCGATACGCATTGATTGTCTTTATCATATCTTACTGTAAACATCGACAATGGAATGCTGATCCGAAGGGATTGGCTCTGGTAGAGGCGGATGAGTCGAGAACATGGGGGAAGGTTCGGAAGCAGACGTCGCTGTGTTGTGAGGACCATCGGAAGTGTACTTGGATGAAGTTGTTTATGGAGTTAGTGCCGAGTAGGCTGAGGTTCATCGAATCGTCGAAGAGGAATTACAATGGATTGGATGGAGGTTAGTTTTCGGATCGTCGAAATGTTCTGATTTTGAAAACTCCGAATTTCGAAAAATTTCCGCTTTGAAAAATTGCGGAACATTCAAAATCGGAAGTTTTCCCCGAAATTCCTAAAATCTTAAAATCGGGTTTCGGTATTTCGGAGTATTCCGAATTTTTCGATTTTGAAAATTTTGAAAATTCGGAACATTCATATTTGAAAAGTATCTGAATTGCGGAATAATCAGATTATTAAAATTTCGGAATTTTCCGATTTTCAGAATTTCAAAATTTTGGGATTTTCGAGTTTTAAAATTCAGATTTTAAAATTTTTTGGAATTCGGAATGTTGCAATTTTGAAATTTTCAGAATTTTGGACGATTCCAGTTAAAATTTTTTTTTAATTTTGAAAATCTTTGGAACTCCGAATCCTTAGAAATCGGACAGTTCTGAAATTTTCCGATATTGTAACTTCGGGATATTTTGGTTTTTGAAATTTCGGAAAATTAAATTCGGAAATTTCGATTTTCAAACTTTCAAAATTCTGTATTTTCGGAATGTTTTGGCATATTCTGATTTTAAAAATTTGAAATTTTCGAGATTTTGAAATTTCAGGAATTCGGGAATATGATTTGGAAATTTTCGTAAAGTTTTCAATTTGAAAAATTTAGAATTTCGGAATATTTCGATTTTGAATGTTTATGTGTTCCGAATCCCGTTCCAAAACATCAAAATTCGATTAAAGGTGGGGAGACATGAAAAAAAAATGTTCTCGAAATTCCGTTCAAAGATGCCCCTCGAGGAGTTGAACTTGTGAAGGCGAGGAGTAAGGGTGCGGCGCCGCTACCGACTGAGCCACGCGTGAAAAAAGAAAGCGGACGCCCGATTGCATACATAAAGGCGAGGACGACAGCTGTACGCAGAGTGACATTAAGCGTTGTACACCGTGACGGTAGAATGCATACTCTAGCTACAAAAAAACTACGAAAAATCTCCTGTCCCCCCACCTTTAATGTTTTTTTTAAAGCTCCAGACGATTTTTTTTCCAGACGACGGACCATTCCGCGATGACGTCTATTTCCATTGCATGAAGCTCGGTGCCGAATGCCAAAAACGTATTTTCTTCGAAGGCGCCAAACCGATAGGTCTACAAGAGGATGCAGTGGACGATTACAGCCTCGACGGAATGCACCTTCTGTCGGTGCAATATGGAAATCTTCAACGAATCCCATCTTATATGGCTTTGGGCGGTGCTGATATCAACGCTATTGCCACGTATATGCCTACGAAACAGGTGTTCCGGCTGCAGGATTATCTCAAGGAATGGATTGAGAAGAATGTCACTGATAGTGCTGTCAGACCAGAACACAAGATTTATTATGAGAATCTCATCGATATGGTTCGACTCACAGCGAGCTCGTTGGAGATTTTTGTGAAAGCAAAAGTCAATGAGATGATTGCAACTAGATTGAACATGGAATTTAAAATTCATAGTGAGTTTTTATTTTGGAACTTGCAGGAAAATTATATCAAAGTCATGGAAAAGAAGCCTGGAAAGAATTATATCAAATGAGAAACTTCGAAAGTGTACTGATTAGCCAGACTTTTCGTCTGTTGATCCCTTTCGCCGCGTAGAGGCTCAGTACGTGAAAGAGAATCAGGTTTTTACCGGAAAAAAACATGACAAAAAACAACTGGCATCAGCATATAGGTACCATAATACTGGCATCAGGACATGGGGGACTATATCACTGGCATCAGAGAATCTTGCGAAACCACTGGCATCAGCATATGGGGGTACCATAATACTGGCATCAGGGTATGGGGGGTACCATATCACTGGCATCCGGGAATCTTGCGACACCCTGGGCAAAGAGGAGGTTGGGGGGGGGGATATGATCGCATGGGAAACTATCAAGAGAACTTCAATTTCCAAAATCGGGGACTGGTTGAAACTCATGAAAAACGGACTAGATTTGATTTAAAAGTGGACTATAAATCTGGAGAAATAGACCAAAATTAATAAAAAATGACTTAAATTTCATTACAAATGATCCGAATATCGTGAAAAGTTTTCAGAAAATCATTTAAAAAAAAGCTAAAATCATCGCAAATCGGCAATTTTTGAATATTTTAAATTCAAAAATCGTTGAAAATTCATCTGAAATTTCTGAAAATAAAGTTTCCAGACCGTCAAAATTCAGAAAAAAATGGATCGAAAATCATGAAAATCAAATTGAATTTTATGAAAAATAGGTCTAAAATTCAATGACCCAAAGTCCCCTTTTTACTTTTGAAGTTAATCAATTTCCAGTGGACCTTACCTATCCTCACATCATCCGTTGCTCTCCTATCAACAACGTCGACAACGGTGGCGATGGATCGCATCAAGTCATATCATCTCTGTTCTCCCCATTCGGAATCGGACTTCGCGCTGGTCTTCCTCAGAATGAAGCAGAAGGAGGGTTCAATGAGCGAGAGATCAAGAAGTTGCGAGTGGCTCTCGGAAAATTCCAGACTCTTGTTGCTCGTGACGAAGGTCGTCTGATTATTGCCCTTTACCGTTTGGATGTTCACTTCAAGGCTAATGTCCAGGAGAAGTTCGCAGTGCCAATGTTCAAACATAATCCCAGTGATGATGGATTTGTTGTTGAGGGAGTGAAGTGAGTTTTTTTTTACTTCAGGAAATATATGTTATGCTGTGGAAGAGAAAACGCAGGTGACAGTACCCGAAGGTCCCACAACGACAACTACCGTAACCTAAACTATTCTTATTTCTCGAATTTTTTATCTCGATTTTCTCGTCGAGTTTTCTAAACCATTTTTTGTCCCGAAAGCGCACGAAACTTGAGAAAAGAATCGAAAATTCAAAAAAACAATTTTCCCTTCAAAATGTTGGCGGAGCTTGAAAATCTTGGCCTTTTCCAAGCTCATCCAAAATTAGTCAATTTTGACTAGTTCTGTATCAATGTCGCGATCTATTGATCTCTGACATCACATAAAGTAGCCCAGTTTTTAGTCTCTACAATCAATTGTATTGATTTTTTGTTACAATTTAATAAATCTTACGGTCCTTTGTAACCGTGGGTGGAGCCTAATTTTTTGATTTTTGCAGTCTTGTTCGCCAAGGAGAAGATCTTCACGCCAACGAAGCTGACATCCGTCTCATCAACCATCTGCCATTGACCTCTCCCGGAGCCCTGTATTATTGTATCGAGAATCGAGATATCGAACGGACCCTGATTGTTCCTGGCAATGCTCACATTGAAATCATTGGAACATTTGATAAACCAATAAGCTTTGTTGCACAAGTTTTCCTCATTAAAAAGAATTTCTAGATTTTTTTTCAATATTATTTATTTGACCCCCATTATTGATTTGTTCGTTTTTTCCCTTTGATACCTCTTTCCATGACACGTGTTACATTACCCCCCGTTTACCGTTTTATAATTGTAATACCTGAATTTGTTCCGTTTTTTTTTTCTGGTAATTATTAATTAATGAATATCGGATCTTCATAAGTATTTTAGTTTTTAAAAAAATTGCTTGTTCTGGGCATTTTGTTTCATCGGTGTTTACGGGCCCTGTGTTATATTCGACGAGAAAGCAAAAATTTTAAAAAAATTCTAATTTTTCATGTTGCCATTCAATTTTGCTTTTTCTAAAATCCAATTTTCTCCTTCTTTCTTTTTTTAAATAGGCTCCGCCCACTTTTTTTGCAATTCTGCGGCACTGTTCAAAATATATATTTTGTTTTTTTGAAATTTTCAAACGCAAAACTGCCGAAAAATGTGGGCGGGGCCAAGATGTTCAAAACGCTCAGATGGAACTGAAAAATTAGGGCTCTACAGTACAGACTTCGAATATCACATTTTCAACGGGCCTAGAAAATCCGAAAGTTGAGTTTCTAGGCCACCAAAGTTAGGACTCAATTTGGTTCGAAAATTTTGTCATTTTCCGAAAACTGTTTGCCAAAAAATAGTGAAAACTTTTTCGTTCTGTGCATTTTGCCGTGTTAGTGTTTACGGTCACTGCATCATATCAGACGAACAAACCAAAAAATTCAAATGACCTAAAAACTTTCAAAAAAAAGGAAAATCTAGAAAAAGAAATCCCTGTCCTCTATAAATTTTTCATCATTAAATTTTCTTCTTCCTCCTTCTCTCCCTATATATTCTCTCCTCCTCCATCTGCATCCGTACGACGTCTTCTAAATACTACTCAACGTCTTCTTCTTCTCCTTCGTCACCAAAGATTCTCACGTGTTTTCTATATTTTTTCTTATTTCATCTCTTTTAACACAGGCATCCGTATACACACACACATACACCGAAAGCTGTCAAAACATTGTCTAGTTTTTTACTCTCTTCCCGGTGGCGCCATTCCATTCGTCCTGTGTTGCAAATTCGTCTTGTTGTCTGCGTCTATTACTTTCTTAGTACTATTTCTCTGAAAAAAGAACACAACAAAAAAGTCTCGGGGAGAAAATGTATGCGTAAGAGTATGGCGTATGAATTCAGAAGCACTGGCGAACACGCGTGTTCCTCCTCAGCTTCTTCTTCTTCTCCAACTTGTCCTCCTCTTTCTTTTTCATTTTCCTTCTTCTTCTTCTTTCCCCGGGCGACCGATCAATTCGTCCTTTCTCTCACTCCGCACTCACTCATCCACTCTTTCATTTCTCTTTTTCCCTCAAATTTTCCAACACAGACAATGGAAAAGAGACCCGTGATCGCGAAATGTATATACAATTACCCGATTTCTGGAGACACAGACAGTCTGAGGGCTTCTATGGCTTTTGTTTGAAATTTTGAAATTTTCATTATTAATTTTTATTTTAATTTACTAAATACAAATTTCAATAAATTTTGAGTTTTCTTTGAATTTTAAAATTTCCTTATTTACACCTCATTAGTTTTGAATTGATAAGCAGCGAAAAATATTGTATCCACCCAAAAACATGTTTTTCAAGAAAATTAGGTCTCGTGTTGTTTATAAATAAATATTTACAAATCAAGTTCACATGGTTTCTGAAGCTTTAAGCGGCGCATTTTTGTTTTTTCTCGCGAAAATGTGAATTTCTAATGAGAGAGTGTACTTTTCCTTTGCATAAACTGCATAGAACACGAAAATTTTGATATTTGTAGCTATAAATTTATTTCTGACTGGAATTTTACAAACGTTGTATTTTGGACGCTCCAAAATATTTTTATTTTCAACACACTTTTCTGTAAATAGCTCCAAATTGGACAATTAAAAATTTTTCTAAATCTCTTCTATTATTGTTTCTGTAAATAACTAGTTTTTTAATATTTTAATAAAATTCAAAAAACTGATTTCGATGTTTTTTTCGAAATTCTGTTATTTTTTCGGAAATTTTCCGTATTTTAGATGAACTTTTGCTTGCGAATATTTCAAAATCTTCAATGTTTGGCTCGATTTTACGGTCTGGAAAGGTCCCACATCGGAAACTACCGTAACCTAAAAATATAGTTTTTCCCGGATTTATTTTTCTCGATTTCATTTTCAGTCAATTTTTGACCATTAACTTTTTTTTAAATTGAAGTTTGTATATTTTCTAACTTTTTCGGGGAAAAACAGAAAATTCGACGAAAATCAGTAAAAAACGAGAAAATAAACAGAGAAATTCCAAATATTTTTAGGTTACGGTAGTTGTCGTTGCGGGGCCTTCGGGTACTGTCACCGGCGTTTTCTCTTCCACAGCTTCGATTTTTTTGTACCGGAATAATACAATTGTTTTTTTCTAAAATTTTCAATTATCGTTTCAGCAAAAAGCAGTTCTTAATTTTTTTTAGAATCAAATTCACAAACATTGATTTCGATATTTTTGAATTGTTTCCAAATTCCGATTTTCAAACTCGACTAATTCTATTCTGTGACTCGTGAAACTCCGAATTCTCTTATTAATATTTCATTAGCGCAGTGATCCCATATGACTTCCTCTTGAGATTCGAGTCCTTTAGCACTTTTCAGCTCCTCATTTTTCCATTTTTCCAGAAGCTTCCAAGTATCAAGTGTCATTGTATCTTTTTTTCACAAAAAAGGAGTCAGTGATCACATCATTATTCGATTTTCGCTTTACTTGTTATCGTTTTCTTAAGAAAAAGGCACGTAGAGAGCTTGAGAAATCACCATGACAACAAATCCGAAAGAAAATCTCATGAAATCTTTTGTGAGAGCCTATCATTCATTCTATTGCTCTAGACCGGAAACCTTTTTCCTCAAATTTTTTTTTCAAAAAATTTTTTTCTGAAGGTAAAGTGTATAGAGGATTTTTGGGGGAGAATGTCGGAACGCGCGGTAGAGAGAAGTATGGAAACAAATAGGCGAGACATAATTGGTTCGTGAAGAGACGCAGAGAAACAGCTGGAAAATTCGCTAGGGTTTGTATAATAGTCATGGCAGGCAAAGACATGCATTTTAGGTGTAATATTTTTAACTCTCAATTAGAAGCGGCATTTTTGGCTTTCACTTTTCGACATGTCACATCATCTTTTTTGTATACACTATGCCCTTTTTATAAACATTTTTTTGCTGTTCTGGTACAAAAAAAATCGAAGGTCCCACAAGAAAACTATCGTAACCTAAGAATATTGTGATTTTTCGAATTTCTTTTTCTCGATTTTCGCTGCTTTTTGTCGTTATTTTTTCAGTTATTTTCAACAAAAAGGTCGTAAAAAATCGACTGAAAAAGCACGAAAATCGGTTAGAAACACCGGAAAATGAATATATTTATAGGTTACGGTAGTTGTCGCTGTGGGACATGCCTTTCGTTTTATCAATAAAATCATGAGACCCATTCTCTTACAAATTTATGTCTCGTCTTTTTTATAAAACTGATTTTTTCTCGAAGTTCTAAAATCCAGAATTCCAAATTTCCAGACACAAAATGGACGATGAAGACATGAGCTGCACGTCCGGCGATGATTACGGTGGATATGGGGATGGTTAGTTTTTAAATTTTTCGAAAATTTGAAAAAAAAACAAGAAAATCGGAGCTCTGGAAGAGAAATACCGGTGGCCGTAGCCTAAGGTCCCACAGCGACAACTACAGTAACCTAAAAATATTTTCATTTTCCGGATTTATTATCTCGATTTTCATGGGTTTTTAGCCATCCAACTTTATTTTGGGAAATAATAACAGAAAAATCGGCAAAATCAGTAAAAACGAGAAAATCCGGAAAATAAAATGTTTTTGGTTACTGTAGCGTTCGCTGTGAGACCGCAGCTCTGATTTTTTGAACCAGAAAAATATTCAAAATCTCAATTTTCCAGAAGACTACTACAACGAAGCCGACGTAGACGCCGCCGATGACGTGGAAGTCACACCGACGCATTCAGAAGAAGCAGAGTACGAGTGTCTCACTGTTAGTCAGGTAAACCGCTTAATCCTCATTAATCATGAGCAATCCCCAAAAAAATCGGATTTCCAGGTCGAACGGGTATTCCTTGACGGAATGAATCAGCTGACTGCACGAATTCCGGTAAACGATAAATGCGCTAGAACACTTTTAGAAGCAAATCAATGGGACGTCGAGAGAGTTGTGAAGTTGTATCGGCAGGATCGAACGGATCTCTTTAGAAGAAGTCATATCGATGCACGACCCGAACCGAAACGGAAACTATCGGCGACTTCGGGAGTGAAAGCAAAGGGTTACTGTACTGTGTGTGCAATGGAAGGACATGCAGAATTGCCACATTTGGCATGTGGACACTGTTTTTGTGAGCATTGTTGGAAGAGTCATGTCGAATCCAGGTGAGATTTTGGTTGCTGAAATTATTGACAAAAATGAGAGTTTTCCAAAAATAAAGCAAATTTTCAAATTCCAAAAAAGTAGGTCAAAATACTGCGATTTTTCGAATATCTTCAAAATTTACTGATAAACCACAAAATATTATTCCGGTACAAAAAAATCAGAGCTGTAGACAAAAAACGCCCGTGGCCGAAGGTCCCACAAAGACAACTACAGTAATCTAAAAATATTTGAAATGTATCTCTTTATTTTCTCGTTTTTTACTGATTTTCGTCGAATTTTCTGTTTTTCCCGGAAAAAGTTTGGGAAATATATAAAAATCAATTTAAAAAAATGTTTATAGTCAACAATTGACTCAGAAATGCACGGAAATCGAGAAAAATACATCCGGGAAAAACTATATTTTTAGGTTACGGTAGTTTCCGATGTGGGACCTTTCCAGACCGTAAAATCGAGCCAAACATTAAAGATTTTGAAAAATTCGCAAGCAAAAGTTCATCTAAAATACGAGAAATTTCCGAAAAAATAAAAGAATTTCGAAAAAAAACATCGAAATCATGAGACTGCAGTTTTTCGAATTTTATTAAAATATTAAAAAAATTTGTTTTTATAGAAACAATAATAGAAGAGATTTTGAAAAAATTTTCAATATTCCAATTTGGAGCTATTTACAGAAAATTGTGTTAAAAGAGGCCAGACACCAAAAAAAAAAAGTTTTCCTGATATTTTGCATAGAGAACCTCCATGAGGGGTTGAACTCATGACAGACAGCTCAGGGGTACAGTGCCGCTACCGGCTGAGCTACGGGGGCGCGAAGGCGCCTGACGACCGATGGTCTACATAAGCGCGGCGCGATTTCGTCCCCCGAACTGTCCCCCCGAAATTTTTGCTATCTCGCCTTCTTTAAATATAAAATTATTTTTCTGGATTTATTTTTTCGATTTTCGTGCCTTTTTAGTCAATTTTCTCTTTTTTCTGAAAGTTCGAAAATCCGAAGATCCGGAAAATCCGAGATTCCGAAAATCTGAAAATCCGAAAATCCGAACTTTTGAAAATCCGAATTTCCAAGATTCTGAAATTCGGAAAATCTGAGGATCCGAAACCTTGAATTTCTGAAATTCCGAAGTTCCATAAATCTGAATTTCTGAAATCTAAAATTCTTAAAATCCGAAAATCCTAATTTCTGAAAATCCGAAAGCCCGAACTTCCGAAAATCTGAATTTCCTAAATTCTAAACACCCGAAAATCAGAAATCCTGATATTCTGGAAATCCGAAACTCCGAAATTCTGAAATTCTGAAAATCCGATATTCCGAACATCTGGAATAGAGAAATTCTGGAAATTTGAAAATACGAAATTCCAAAAAACTGATATTCTGAAAATCTGAATTTCTGAACATCCAAAAATTTGATTCTAAATTTTCTTGTAATTTATGAATCTTATTTTAACTTTCAGACTCTCCGAAGGCGTCGCGTCCCGTATCGAATGTATGGAATCGAATTGTGAAGTTTACGCTCCTCAAGAATTCGTCCTCGTCATCATCAAATCCTCACCAGCGCTAAAACAGAAATACGATCGATTTTTGCTGAGAGATATGGTAAATTCCCATCCACACCTGAAATTTTGTGTTGGAAATGACTGTCAAGTGATAACAGATCAACGGAGGCGAAGCCAAAACGAGTCACTTGTCTCGCATGTCACACGTCTTCTTGGTGAGTTTACACTTGAAACCTGTAATAGAAGGGCCTTCTTTGACCAATTAATCTCGGTTTTTGTTAGAGATATCAAGAAGTTGTCAACTGATAAATTGACGATTTTCAAATTGTTTATCATAATATCAGAAGCATTTTATCATTTGATAAATTTGTAATAATTTGCATAGGAGCCAAGAAAAATCAGCTCAAATTTGAGGGATTACGGTAGCTCGCCAATCAGAATTTTTCCCAATTTCAGCGTTCGATGCGGTGCTGACTACCACGCTCCCACATCCTGCGACACCATTAGACAATGGATGACAAAGTGTGCGGATGATAGTGAAACTGCGAATTACATCAGTGCACACACCAAAGACTGTCCCCAGTGTCATAGTTGTATTGAGAAGGCCGGAGGTTGTAATCATATTCAATGTACCAGGTGTCGACATCATTTCTGTTGGATGTGTTTTGGTGGTGAGTTTTTTTTTAAATCTGAAAATGGACTTCGATTTTTTGGAACTCTGGAAAAACATCTCTTGAAAAATTGTACTCTAAAAACTCCATTGTTTCTTGAAGTTTCGATTTCCCAGACCGAGATTTTTTCACCCAAAAAGCAATTGTTTTCTTGGAAAAATATCTTCCAAACTGTAAAACCTGTAATAGATACCCGCACTGCCCATTTTGAGCTAATTTTTCTTGACTATCAGAAATGTGTCAACTGATAAAATTTTTGTGATATTATGATAAACAATTTTTCAGTTGACAACTTTTTGATATCTTTAACAGGAACCGAAATAAATTTGCTCAAAGTTAAAAGTTGGAAGGCCCTTCTATTAAAGGTTTCACAACACATTTTCTGCAGACTGGAAAAGTCACGGAAGCGAATACTACGAGTGCAGTCGATACAAAGAGAATCCATCGGTTGCTGCCGAGGCGAATCATGTGAAAGCTCGGCGAGCTCTCGAGAAATATCTCCATTATTTCGAACGATTTGAGAATCACTCGAAATCGCTGAAGATGGAAGAGGAGTTGAGGGATAAGATTCGAAAGAAGATTGATGATAAGGTGAGGGATTGACCATATTTTCTGAAAAAAAGTTTTCTGTTTCATAGAGCTGATAGAGTTGGTATAATTCTAGCAGGTATACATCAGGTGATACCAAAAATTTTTATGACTTCAAAATGTGTAAAAAATGTAGACTTTATCTAGGTTTTTTTTTCAAAAATTTTCCACATTTTTTTGTCTGCAATTTGACGTGATTGGGTTTGCTAAAAAAACAATACAAGAAAATAAGTTTCTACAGTAACCTACAGTAATCTTTTGTCAAGAACATCATCCTGTCGAATTTCAGACAAAACAATTCTGAAAAATCGAAAAAGAAGCTTTGAAAATAGCTGAAAACCCTAAAAAGGTCTAAAAATTTTGCACGAAATCGTAGAAAAAATAATATTTTGCTTTCGAAAAAGCGCTAATTTTTCGAATTTTTTGGTTTTGGCGGAATTCAAAAAATATTCCAGAACCTTATAGCCTACTTGCAAAATCAGGGCCCGCCCGGCGGGCCCTGGTTCTTCATATTTGAAAATTTTTTCAAATTTTTTTTTGTAAAAGAACTATTTTTTATGGACGCTGTTATCTTGAAAAATTGTTTTCTTGTCAGAAAAATTGTCCATTTTTTTCTGTTGACCCCAAAAAAATTCTGAAAAGACAGAAAAAAAAAATTTCCGAAAATCCGGGCCCAGGCCCTGAAAATTCTGAAAAAAGCCCGGCCCGGCCCGTTGCTAGTATGCCTTTTAGAATTTCTAGAAATGGACGAGAACTGAGATTTTTCGCTTTTTGACTCTTCGAGGTTTTGTCACTTTTTAACAATATTTTTCTTTGTTTCTTCATGAATCTACACATTTTTCTACACATTTTGATGTAAATGAAATTTTCGGTTTCTCCAACTAACTGTTATCAATTTTAATCAAAAAAGTATCTTGCCCAAACTGATTTGAAAAATTGTTTCTACTGTTTCTGGAATTCCATAACTTCAAAGAAATTCTGAGATGAGTATCGTGAAGAATGGTTTTAGTTCGTCAATAAATCTTACTGATTTTGCTTTGAAAATTTGCACAAAATTTGTTTCTTCCAGGTAAACGAGCACAACGGAACATGGATCGATTGGCAGTATCTCCACAAATCAGTGTCATTGCTCACAAAATGTCGTTACACGCTACAGTACACCTACCCGTTCGCTTATTATCTGACCGGTAGTCCTCGCAAGAATTTGGTGAGCCTTTTTGAACAAATTTACCGTAAAGCTTCTAATAAAGGAGCCTCCTAATTTTTTAACTTCGAGCTCAATTACCTAGATTCAAGTGAAAGATATAATAAAGTTGTCAACTGTAAAAATGTTTGGGATATTATGTCAAACAGTTTATCAGTTGACAACTTCTCAAAGTCTTTAACAGGATCCGATATAAACTGGCTCAACGTTTTAAGTACAGACTCTTCTATTACATGTAGGTTTACTGTAGCTTAAGGGCTCAGTTAGAATGAGCAAATCTAAAACAAATATAACGACAGAAATATCCCATATAAGATTCCATAGCCTGTCTCCATGTCTTCTGAATTGATAGAACGTCTTCATTGAACCCCTTGACAGCTATTCGTAAACGTTTCCGGTATTTATTCAGAAGTAGTCCTTGAAGAACCCCTTTTCATAAACGACTATGGTAGAGTCTATTTGTACATGTTTCCGTCGATTGTGTTTGGAATAAGACCAGGAAGATACAAATTTATTTTGGAATTAATGTAGAAATCATTTGTAGCTTTTTCTTCTAAATAATTTACCACTGAAAAACAAAAAAAACGTCATCATCACATTTATGTCTGTAGTTCGATTCAAAATCCCTTTTGATTTTCCTAGAAATACGAAACTTCGTTTCCTTTAGAAAATGCATATTTCATCGCACAGTGTGGTGCCACACTGTGGGTGGTCTCTCTGGAAAAGGCAAGTTTCGGAAAACGAGAAACATATATGAATACTGATTATTTGATTGATGATTCGTGAAATTCTGGTATCATGGAGAGATGAATTATTATTGAAAACGACGGAAGGAAAAGAGATGTATGAGAATTGCAAAGAGAAATTTCTGAGGCTACCGTAAAACCTGTAATAGAAGGGCCCCACACTGTCTCTATTCCTGTGCAAGATATCGAAATGTTTACGTAGTTATGTTTACGTTCCACATTTCCCTGAAAGTTTCCTAAAAATCAGGCAACTTTGACCTAGTTTTTAGAGCTCAAGTCAATAATTTTCTGCTGAAAATCAAAAATCGATTATTGATATACAGTACCCGCCAATTTTGGATATCTTAAAAATATAGCTAATTTTGTTGGATGAGAATGAAAATTTTGAGAATATACTAAACAAAAATGATAGAGCTTCAATTCTGTAGTTCAGAACTTTTTTGTAAGAAATCATTCACATGAGATATCGTATTTCCTTCAATAGAATCCACTCAGATCGTCAACTTTGAGATCAATTATCTCGATTCCTGTGAAAGATATCAAGATTTTGTCAACTGATAAATTATTGGTGATATTATGATAAGCATTTTATCAGTTAACAAAATTTTGATATTTTTCACAGGAATCGAGATAATTGAGCTCGAATTTGATGGTGGTCTTCTATTAGAGGAAATATAGTGATAAACGTCAGCCGGTACTGTAGCCCCTTCATTTCCAACAAACCAATTTGTTTGATCAATCCGCCCCCCTAACTTTTTGAAAATAACAAATTTATAAATCTAGTCGATCTCCCTCATTATCCTCTTCATCACACACACACAAAACTACCAAATCCCCTCCTTCTTCATCTCCTCTTCATACAATTTTCAAATGATTTGAAGGCGATAATCCGGCTCTGTTTCCATATTCTCCTCTCCTCTATTATTATTAACTCCCTCCCTCAAAACGACCACGAAAACCAGGCCGAAAATCCAAAATCGGCTGAATAGAGACGGATTTCAGAAAGAGGAGAGGAGGGGATTAGTGGGAGAGAGACGCTTTTGCTAGGAGATACTTCTTCTTTCCTGTCCTCGTCCGATTAATGGACTTCTACTACTTTATACGTGGGAGAGGAAGAAAGTAGTAGAAGAAGAAGGAGTGGAAATTCCAATTTGTTGAAATGACTCTAGGAAATAGAAGAGCAGGTCGATGCTCAGCAGGATTTGAAGAAGAAAGTGCACAAAAGTTTGGGGAATTTGGGGACTCTCCGAGCTGAGCAACAGACAAAAAATCAAAAATTAAAAGGATTACTGTAGTGAAAATTCTTTGAAAACTACAAAGATTACTGTAACGAAGAAATAGGTAGGATCACTGTAGCCCCCTTTCTCAGTCCCTCAACTACAGTACCCCCAGCCTCTTACCTGGCCACGAAACTTTAACTTTCACCCCTTCCTCCTTCTCCGATCATAAGATCCTGTGATTCATATGCTAATTAGAAATTGTTTTTCTATAACGAAATGTACTTTGCTTTCAAAAGTTGGGCAACTGTAGGAATCAAAGATCAGTTTTCGGATACTACGTCTTGAAGTTGTTCCTTTGATCTCAGTCGCCGATAAGATCCTAGACAAGCTATGTTGTTGTTAGGTTACTGTCTCGAAATGTTTTGACAAGACAGCGTGACACCTGCAGCTGTTGCTAATTGGAAGTGTGTCTGTCTCGAAAGGACAATGGTCCTTTGATCTTGATCAGAGAAGAATTTTGAGAATTCGAGAAGATAGGAAAGATGTCTAGAGAAATACTGAAAGATTCTTGATGATTCTGGAGAATTCTAGAGTATTCTGAAGATTTTCGGAAATTCTGAGACATTCTAGAGAGTTCTGAAGGCTTCTAGAAAGTTCTAGAAGAGTTGTTAACATTCTGGAAAATTTTCGAGGTTTCTGAAGGGTTCTGAAGGGTTTTGGAGATGTCTGAAAGATTCTCAAAGCTTCTAGAGGATTCTCAGGGCTTCTGGAGAATTTTGGATGATTCTAAATGCTTCTAAAAGATTACGTAAGATTTTGAAAGTTTCTAGAAGATTTTGAAGGATTCTAGAGGGTTCCAAAGGATTCTAGAGGTGTCTACCGGTTTCCGGAAGATTTTAAAGGGTTCTAGAAGTTTCGAGAAGATTCTGGGTAAATCTGGAAGCTTATAGATGATTCTGAAGGTGTCTAGACGATTCTGAACGGTTCTAAAGCATTCTAGAGTGTTCTTTAGGTACTTAGGGGTATCTGGATTCTGGATGATTCTATAAGATTCTAGAAGTGTCTAGAAGAGTCTGAAAAATTCTGGAGACTTCTGCAAGATTTGGAAGATTCTTCTGGAGGATTGAGGTCTCTAGAGGATTCTCAGGGATTCTGGAGGATTCCAGAGGGTTCTAGAGAGAAAATAATTATAAAAGAATCTGAAATTCCAAAAAAAAAATCTCAAAATTTTCTTTTGCAGTTCGAATACCAACAAGCCCAACTGGAAAAGGAGGTCGAGGAGCTGGCGTGGGCCGTCGAACGAGCCGATGGAACCGCCCGAGGAGCCCTCGAAGCCCATATGCACCGTGCCGAACACAAACGACAGACGCTTCTTCACGATTTCTTCTTCTAGAATTTTCTCCATTTTACCTCATTTTTATTGATATGGGTTGTTTTTTTTTCTAGAATTTTTCCTATAAAAAATACATCGAAATCTATCAAATCGATACATGTCTACTTCTTGAACGTCTTCACACCCCATCCTTTCGCTTTTCTGTGATTCTCTGTATAATATGGATTTTTGGGATTCCTTATGAGATCTCTCCCCTCCCACTGTTTATATTTGTCCCCCGGATTGTCCCCTTTATTTTTTAGGATTTTTTTGTATTTTTTCAAAAAGACATACTCACACCACCTAGTGCCTTGACATATTTTTCTACTTCCTCATTTCCCTCATTTTTCTTCTGTTATCATTATCACTCTTTCACTCGACTACTACTATAACTTTTCTGGTCCCAAATGAATTTTGATTCCTAATTATTTCCATTCGACTCTCGCACTAATCCTCTTCCACCAACACCTTCTTCTTCAATAGGTGGAATGATTAGAGGAGAGAAAAATAAGACGAAGAAGAAGAAGTGAAAGATTTCTAATCCTTTGGATGGATAGAGTCTCTCCCTCATATAATCTCTAGTAGATGTGTGATAAGAAACTCCGCCCATTTCTTTTGGCTCTTTTGAGCAGCAATACGGCTCAGCTCTGCGAAGAGCTCATTCATTTCGCATATTCTGACGACTTCTGAATATTCTGGAAAGTCTTCTGGAGAAGGAGGTGAGTCTCAGGCTTTAAACTAAGGGAACTACACAAATTTTTATGGGCCTTCAAAAATTAGATACCGTAAAACCTCTAATAGAACGACACCCGAATCGTCCACTTTGAGCCTATATATCTCATTTACTGTGAAAGATATCAAAAAGTGGCTAACTAGTAACATGTTGCTGATATCCTGATAAACATTTTACTAGTTAACCACATTTTGATATCTTTCAAAAGAAATGAGATATATAGGCTCAAAGTGGACGATCCGGGTGTCGTTCTATTAGAGGTTTTACGGTATTCAAAATAATTTGGGATAACAGTTTTGAGAAATAAATTTTTGCGAACAATAAGTTACGGTATTACGGTAATAGCCGTTCTGTTTTTGGTTACTGTATCCCCGTACAGGGGCGGCAAACGTATGGTAACACATTCAAAGTGATGTAACTTTCGCAAAAGGACCCGTATCAACATGAAAAGTGGACAATAGTTTACTTAATACTTTCTAAATCTGAAATTATAAAAATTGTTTGACGCGGTTGCCTTTGTTCCTCACAACATCGATGAGTCTCTTCGGGAACGCATCTACCGTGGCACGGGGGTATTTTGGAGATAAATTGACCCAGTCTGAGGCCAAACTTGATTTCAATGTCTACAAATTTGGTTCTGGGCGTGCTTGGACCCTCGACTGAAACATTCCATATGCGGAATAGTCCAACAGATTCATGTCTGGCGACGAGGGTGAGCACTCGCAAGTCATTCTGAATATTGAAAAATTTGCCGTGCATCATGGCTGAATGATGTTTGTCTTGTGAGCGCGAGCAGAATCCCGTTGAATAGTCCACACATGGTTTTCAAAATAGGATTTGGTCCACGGAAGAACATAACCCTTGAAAATTTCTTCATATTAGTACTTTTTGTTGATTTTCACCCCAAAATCTACAAAAATTAGAATTTGGAGGTTGTTGCACCAAAAACCATGACGTTCTGATGATATGAAACTTTTTTGGTCATGATACTATGCTTATTAGATAGCTCAGATCTCGGGGAAGAAACTCAATAGTTTTTGGATGAGAATTCGACTTCCACCGTCAAGAGTTTCTCGTCGACAAACATCATCGTCATGTGTTCATTTTGACGCGTGCCAGCAAATGTCGATTTGCACTTCTGGACGCGTTCCAGATTGTTGTTTCCCGACAGAATTCCAGTCTTTTGAACACGATATGGGGTCAATCCGAGCTCACTTTTAGCGATTCTACTGAGTGGATGACTGCTCATTCGGAGCTCCAGGCTCATTTTTTCTTTCTTCGGTGCGGATTTCGATTTTGCATTTCTTCAGAATGATCAAAGTTTGAGATCTTATGTTTTTTAGACAGTTCTTGACCGTATTTAACTAATAAAACTATTCCATGGTTATTCACAGGGTTGTTCGTTAGATTCCAAGAGCTTTTCCGATGCTACCTATGCCCACCCCTCTCTTGGCCACCTCTACGAGGGTACCTAGGTGTATAGAACTTGTCACCATTTCTTTAAAAGTCAACCAAAAGAATTGAAAATTTTGTAATAAGGTAATTAAGACATGCTGAAAATATTGAATATGAATTCAGGACACTAAAAGTACGCCTGCGCCCACCAGCTTGCGCGAAACTTGTGTTACCATACTTTTGCCGCACGCTGTATATGGACGAAGAAATGAACATTTTGTAAAATTCTGGGTTATACAAATGTGATGAAACAGAAAGTTTTGATTGTTATTTTTTTGATTGGTGAACCAAATGATATTATTTCTCTGTTAGTATAATCCATCCTTGCAAAATTACCTATTCAATTAATTAATCATTAACTGTGATAAGAAGCTCCGCCTGTTTTTGGTTCTGCTGAGCTCATTTCGCATATTCTGACGACTTGAATGTTTCAAAAGCGTTTTATAATTGTATATCATTGCTATCGTTTCTATATGAAATTAGAAGTTATGGGTAAAAAACTCCGATGGCCGTGTGGTCCCACAACGACTACTACTGTAACGTAAAAATATTTCAATTACTGGATTCATTTTTCGGGTTTTTCTGGTTTTCCTACATTTTCTCCAAGCGAATCGAAAAAGAACGAGTTTTTAGAATCTTTAGAAAACATCCAAAAATCTAGGCTTCAGTTTACGATAGCTTTCGTTCGGAGTTCCTGTTTCAAAATCTTAACTTTATACCGTTTTTCAAACAAATTGTGGTAGTTCCCACGAATCCTTATTTCTCTAGTCTCTGGTTTCAAACCATTCAATTCATCATGAACTCATCATCATCTTCTCTTCCTCTTCTCATTTCCGAATTCAAATGTATTTGTGTTCATTTTCAACCGACCCCTCTTCTCTCCTTCTCTATGTAATTGTCTGTGCCTGCGTTCTCTTAATCCCTAATACTCTCTATCTTCAAAACGACCTCGACAGTATTTCAAATGCACACAGAACAATGGAAAATCATCGTCTCCTCTTCTTCTTCTCCTCCTCTTCAATTCGAACCGACAATTTTCGAAATCGGAGGGAAATTGAGGGATAGAGAGAGGGAGAGACATAGACAGTCTCTCAGAGAAAAAAGAAAAGTGGGCGGGGCTTGCTTTCTCTCTTCGCGCCTCCTCTTCTCTCCACCCCCTTCGATTCCCTCTCATATACAGTCATTCCCTGTGCACTGCTTCCCCAACCACGTATCTTCTACTTCTGTCCTCCTCCACGTATTCTGAATATTCTCTGAAATATACATAAAGGAATCCCACCCTGTTCGCAATGGCACTGCATGAATTCACGGATGCAAAGCGACAGACCGCGGATCATGCGGTACCATAGCTGACGGTGGTGAGATCAGATTATTTGAATCTAGGTAATGTTAGAAGATGCAAATGCGCTCCAATGCGAACCCAGAGGTTTGAGCTATATTTTGCGTTAACGTACGTTAGCTTGAGTCGTTATTAGCTTCAGTATTCATTTTTTAGGCTAAATACCTATTTCAGGCAAAACATGAAACTGTGAAAACATATTTAACCGAAATTAAAAAAATCCCGGTTCTAGATAATTGATGAATAAATGATGAAATATTGGTAATTTTACTATGTACTGATGTTAGGAAACCATATCCCTTAAAATCACATTTTGAGACGCTGGTCATGATTGTCTTACGGAAAGGAACCTCAAAACAACGCGCTTTATCGCACACAGTTGGCGCCACGTACTTCAATGACCCAAAAAAGTTTATTTTTCGAAAAATACACTGCGTAATGGAGAGATACAGAGAGTAAGAGATAAAACCGCGACGCGGAACCGTTACGCGTTCAAATTTGGCACGTTTCCAATTTTCAAATCAAGGTTCCTTTCCGCGAGGCCGTGTTGCTCTGGGAAAAATGTCTGCAACCAATATAACATTTCCCGTTTCTCGTTGGTCCCAAATTTCGGAATGATTAGAAATTTCGATAATTCAGTAGATATCTAATTATTTGATCGAGAAATGTCCAGCTGATCTTGATCCAAGAGAATCTGATACCCGGGGGTGGGCGGAACGGAACTCTGAATTCCAATAAATTCCAAATGGGACTTTGAATGGGACTTTTAAAAAATTCCAATTGGAAAAAATTCGGAAAGAAGTTTTCGAATTTTAAAGTTAGCAGCCGTTGTTCGAGTATCGGTTATTGTTAAAATGTTGTTAAATTATAGTTTTTGTGAATTCGCCTACTTTAAGTTTGATGGTTTCCAAAATCAACAGTGTGAGCAATGATAAATCTGAAAAATTTAACGTATTCTGAATTTTCCAATTTTTTAATGTTTCGGCTATTCGCAAATTCCGATTTTGAGAAATTTTTCCTAAAGTAATTTCATCAGAAAAGGATCGAAAGAAATGGAAAACGTTCCGGTATGTTTGAAAAAAACATTGAAAATTGCAAAACTGTCGTTCAATTAACTTTTTTGTTGAAACAGAAAAATAAGAATAAAATTACAGTTTCAAACTTTAAAACAACATGGCCATGTACGGTTTAAGCAAATATTGATAATTCGAGAAAAGAACTGATTTCGGTGAAAAGTTTAGTAACGCTTTTGAAATGTTTTTGATAGTTGTTTTCATCGGGAATTTGAAAATATTCAGGAATTTGTAATTCTTTTTTCAAACATTTTTCGAACGATATGAGTCTTAGATAACGAATTAGCAGATTAAAAAAATTTTCAGGAACCTTAACGATGTCCAACCAATATGGGCACAAAGCTGTTCACAAGAGAAAACTGACAAACAGAAAAATTTCTGTTTCAGTTTTTTGATAAATAAATGATCATGAAATCGGGAGTAATTTTCTCTCGAATCCCTTTTACTCCCTAAAATCAAATATTGAGAATGCCACAGTCTTCATTTTCTTGTTTCAAGAAAATAGGAAAAGCTGCAAAGTTTTTAGTGGCTTTCTTGAAGTTCTTTCTGTTGCCATCCTCAAAATGCCATCCTTTCTGGAGGGAATGCATGATTTGTACAGTAAACCCAAATTCAAAATAGTCTCTCCCAGAGCTCATTTGATTATTCGAACTCTACCTATCCAAGTACATATATTCTAATGAGCCGTAGCCTTTTCCACAGACAAAGAAACACTGCCCTTTTCAAAAACAGAATGACTCAATTCACTTCTTTTTTGCATAACCTTTTTATTCTTTTGTGATTCAAATGTCTTTTCTCTTTCTCATGTCCATCGATTCCGAACCATTAGACATGCACTTTTCTAATACGGTTTCTCTGCGTCTCTTTCAAAAACGTATCAAAAGTGATTGGCTCGATTTCAGAATCTAATTAGAAAAAGAGAGAAGAGAGTCGAAATGGGAAAATTGTTATGGACTAGTGAATGTGTTCAAGGGGTTACTGTAGAATTTGAATTCAAATTTTCGGCAAAAATGAAGTGTGGAAAAGCGGTTTCAATCCTAACACATGTTGTCTTTAAAGGTAAATTGGGGGCTGGTTACGTTCGGCGTCTACTATAATATTGTAAGATTATTCGAGAAACTGTTTAGATGAAAACTTCTCGTAGTCAGCTTCAACTTTGAACCTGCGATTTTATGATGGGTTTTATTATTTAAATAAATTTTTTTGTGTTTCTAAAGGTGTGTATATCTTTCGATCAAAAAATTCGATAACTTCTTGACATAGATCTTGGCTAAAATTAAAGTTTCTAATTTTTCGGAAATTGACAAAAACAATCCCTGGAAGTTGTTCAAATTTTCTCTGATTTGAAAACTTGATATCACAGCTATTCCTATTTTGAAAGAGTTAAACCTTGGTCTTCTTTATTTGTCATACCAACCTGTTCGCAGCACCTTTGGCGCTTCAAACAGCTGGCTGGTGCGCCTATCGTGCGATGTAACTTATAAAACGAATTTGCTGATTACTAAGAGCTTTTTATTTTCTTCAGAAATTAGATTCCTGGAAGTAATTCTCTGAGTATTTTATATTAGAACAAGAGCAGCAGGCAGGTGCAGGATTAAAGTAACTCAAAAAGTCTTGTCACATCTTATGCCGATGAAACAGCAATTTTTGCAACAACAAAAAAAACGACTTCTAAATTGTTCTAGACGATTCTTATTCTAACCAACCTCCGTATATCCTCTCCTGTTGTCTTCGAGGACATCAGAGACATTTCCCTCTCTCTCTCTCTCCCTCTCTCTTTTTCTTATTTTTCCCTCACTTTGAAATGAAAGATTGTTCCGAAGAAGACACTTCTTCTTCATATTCATTTCAAGAAGAGGAGAGGAGAGACTGGTAATTTTCGCATTAGCAATCGAATCGAACCGTCGCTCCGTCCTCCTCCGGAGACAGAAACCAGGAGAGAGAGGCCGAAATGCCCCGGGAAAAAAGAAAGAGACAAAGGGACATTTCGGATTTTGGGGGAGAAACGACAAGAAGAAACAGTCTAGAATAATGGTAATATATCTTTTTTGAATTGAGAAGAAAACGGAGAGAAAGAAAGACCAACGAAGAATAAAACTCATGCCATCAGGTGTTGGAAATGGGAATTGTCGAAAATTGAGAATACATCCAACTTATCAAATTTTGAAAACACATGTTCATTTTATCCTCTAACTGAAACATTAATCAATTTCGGTATCATAAACTTTCATAATCATAAAATTTTTTAAAATAACTCCGGTTTCAAAACTGGCACCTGGAAATTTCGAAAAAAAGCAGCGCTCGTGTCGATTTACGAGGCTCCGCCCAAAAATCCGGTACCGTATTAAACGAAATTGATTTCTGTGAATTTAGGTTTTTAATTAACAAAAAAGATTTCTTGATATGAAAATGATACCCAGCATCTCTGGAATATGTTTTATACAGAAAAAAAAACCAACCTTACTGTGAAAATCGCACGAGCGAGCTGAAAATCTAAAGTATTACGATTTTTTGCGTAGAGCGAAACAAGCAACACTTTTCGAATTCTCAGGTGCCAGTTTTTTTAAATCCGACAATACCTAATCAATAATTGTTAATGTTTGAAAAATTTTGAGGTGTTTGTAAACCATTAACTTTTAATTATAGTAATATTTCATCTCAAGTTTATACCTTGATCTACATATGGCACGACAAAGTAAAAATCAGGAAACGAAAATAACATCAGCATCTTCTTGTCATGCTTCATGGTTTGAATTGTTAGCAAACATTGAAAATGAGGATCTTACTAGTTAGTGTTTTTCAAAATTGATTCGCTAAATTTAGAAACATAATTTCGAAGAATCATGATGATTCAGTAGTTTCGTTTAACATTCCGAACTCATCCACGTATTCGATGAAACAGTTAAAATTGGTTTTTCAAAACCCTGTAAATCGGGTTTCCTAGTTATACGAAATTACTACAGTATTTGGATTTGGGAAACTCAAACGTGGTTGCTTTAACGGAAAAAAAGTACAAGTGAAAAACAGATTAACTTCGTCAGTTTTCGAGCCGAAACCTTGTGAGTTGAGTTAACAATGAAAACGTGAACGAGTGTTGTGTTTTGAATACTTTTGACTGTATATTTACGGAAATATTGAACCTAGCGCCGCATGGCGCCCATAGTCAGGCTAATAAACTACAATTTAAGATAAATTCAATATACATTGTAATTATTACTGTTTAGTGGATCTCATGTTTTCAATGGCATCCAGTATTCACCATTCCCACCGGTAACTCTAGAATTCTGGTCTTGACCCTTATTATTGTTCCAGATCAAACCTCCATTTCATTCTCTTCCATTTTCCCTCAAAGTGTCACACCTCCTTTTCCATCATCCTTTCATTACCGAATTTCGAAAAACCGACGAAAAGATCTCGACCCCCTTCTTCTTTTTGGTCAAGATGCTTATCTTTGAGTGGAACCTGACGCATCGCACACGACGATGTGAATCTTGAAGTGAATCGGTTTTTCAAGTATACTTCTAGACGTTCCAATGGAAGGAGTAGATTCTTGCTAAAGATAACCCAGTTTCGTTTAACTGTACCAAAAGGATTATGGATGGAACCTTAACTACCGTAACACTTCGAACTCTATTATCTCAATTCGCATAAGAGATATCAAAAATGTGTCCACTAATAAAATGCTAGTGTTATCATGAAAAGTATTTTATTAGTTGACACATTTTAGGCATCTCTTTTAGAAATTGAGATAATTGAGCTCAAAGTGCAAGTATAGGATGCTTCTATTAAGGTGTTTTTATCTATAGAAGCTTAACCAAAATTTGAGATAGGATAGTTTTAGCACAAAAAATCTTGTACGAAAGTTGTCCTGAAAAAAAATAATTAAATAATAAATGTTTCAAGAATTACCATCAAACCTCCATTTGAGTAGCACCTGTCTATCAACTTTGAGCTAGATTATCTCGCTTTCTATGAAAGATATCAAAAATGTGTCAATTGATAAAATGTTTGTGATATTATGATAAACAATTTATCAATTGACCAATTTTTGATATCTTTTACAGGAAATGAGATACATAGGTTCAAAGTTGATGGTCATGGTGTAAGTCTTTTTTGGAAGATAAGACTGCTTTAATAGCTTATTGGCATACTGTACTTTCAAGTCTTTGCAAAATGTCTAGAACGGAATCATAAAAATTAATTCGGCATGAATTTTTCCAGCAATAAATCAATGTCTCATAAACAACATGAATCATATAAATACACCTGCATAAACACAACCATTCCTCTCTTTTTCCTACTACACCGTCCCGTAACCAGTATAAAAAGGGAAAAACGAATGAAAGGTGTTTGCATTTCGAGGCGTAGTCGGCAGACCAGGACCCCGCAAATATCATTGTATGTGTGTATTTGGAGAGAAAAACGGGCGGCATTTTATACCCAAATACGGAGGGAGAAATACAACACGAAAAAAAGAAGTAGGGGGGGGGGGGCGAAAAACGATGAAATACATAAAAATTGAGGACAGTTTGGAGGTAGAAAAGTGGTGGAAGAAAGAGAGAAAGATGGAAAGATGGATGGTAGTTTTGACATGTAGGTTGAGGGTTTTTTCGCGGAATAAACGGTTTGGAGGGAATGGGAAGAGAGGGAAACTTATTTTTGCAACTGAGTAATTCTGTAAAAGGTAAAAATAAATTTGGTCCAGTAACTAAATATCAATAATGACCATAAGGCTAATCAAGTGTTTTTTTTTGATATTTCGAGTTCCGCTGGCAAAAATAGAGGTTAAGTTTACTACAAAGTAAAAAAACAAAAACGTTTATTTCAAACACCAGTCAAATACCATAAAACCTGTTTTAGAAGAGCCGACGTTTCTATTATTCAAACTAAGGAACTTTCGGAGAGCCCTTCTATCACAGCAGCCCTCCAATTAGAGTGAGCCGTTTTAGTTCTTTGGCCATTTTCCGAACTTTTTCATCGAAAATTTTATTGAGTTTTCGAAAATTCATAAAGATCTGTCAATGATAAAAAATTGGTAAATTTTTTAGACTTCAAATGTTCTTCAACGATTTTCTGTAAAAGTTTGATATGTCCAGAATATTTTAGACTGCATATGGAAGTTTATGTTTTGAAAAAAGAACACACACATTTTGAAGGGGCCTTTGTATTTCTTCAAACCCTCTCAAAATGGCCCGTTTATTAGAGGGACCCATAATTTAATGGGTAGCTCTAATACAGGTTTTACGGTACTTTAATTAAGTATTGCAGTTACAGAATGCAAATTATTCGTTAATAAATCTTCCGTTACATCAAAAAAAGTCAAAAAATCATGTTTCAACTGACCGGTATTTGAATCTTCTCTCTCTAATAATACTGGGTTCAAAACACACGCCTTCAATATTTAGAAGACTCCGATTAAAAAAAAAACTAAAATGTGAGTACAATATGTGAATTCACATATAAAAAAGCGGAAACTCGAAAAACTGTTGAAAAGGAATTTTGCGATTTCCTTTAATTTTTTATGTGAGTCTACACACTTGTGATAGGTAAAAAGTTTGTTCCTTTCAGTTGAAAAATTAATTGAGGAAAAATTTTCCAGTTTCAAGTTTCAAGTATGAATTTCAACAAGTGATCTAGGCAATATCGGGAGAGCCTGACTTATATTCACTGAGGAGTATATTTCAAAACTGTCGACTGACCAAATTGTTTTAATATTCTGTCAAAACCGTCTTTGAATCATAAAACCGAAAAATCTGTTGTTCTTTGATATTCAACAAACATTATAACTTTCAAATACATATTACAGTTCAAATGTCATGTTCAAAACAACCAGTAAATCCCATTCACCTTGCCATTCACCCTACTCAAACTACAAAACCGGTTCATTCCTGAAAAAATATATTAAAAATCCAATGTATTCTATGAAAACCGATTTTTTGTCCTGGCATGCCTATTCTTATGAATGTACTGTAAACTTCTCTCTTCCAGACGGTCCCTTCCGACTGCTTGGCACTCGCGAACACCGCGGTCGAAGTTACTCGCGGAGTTAGCCAGTGTCAACCAGATGGATGCTCGAGACTTCCTTTTTGAATGTTCTATCTCGTGAAAAATTTATAAACAGAGTTCGAAAACACAAAAAATATTCTAAAACAATTCCGCTGGAGACCGTACCGTAGTCAAAAAATCCCTAATTTCGAAAAAAAAGTCCGGAAATATTCCGATCGGAATTTTCGGAATTTTCGGAATTCTGAATTCCGCTCCAAATATCCTTGCATCCAAAGTGTAACGTGTTGAACTAAAAGTAGTGAAATCATTAAATTTTTGGCTTTGATACTATAAAAATCAGGAGAAACAGACAAAATAAGAGAAAGTGTGAACATTCTCTAAATTTATTTTAGATTCAATATTTGAAAAAAGTTGCAAAATGTTTCAAGAACCTGTAAATTTCATATATCCGAAAAAATTGTGTTTCAACTAACTCATGTAGCCATTATGACTTCGAATCAACAATTTGCTGGTGTCTTGATTACGTAACTGCATTGTCATTGAAATTTATACTTTTGAATGTATTTGCTGATTCTGAATACTGTCGTTATGTAAGTTTTTTAAAAAGTCCCTTCCGATTGCTTGGCACTCGCGAACACCGCGATCACTTCCAATATCGATCCGCGGAGTTAGCCAGTGTCAACCAAATGGATGTTTGAGACTTGTCATTCTTAAATGTTATGTTTTGTATTTTCATGAACCTTTCCAGCTTTTCAACCCGGATTTTTCACAGTTAGAGCTTGATTAAAACAGAAATCGCATGCTGATCACCCCGGGTAGTTTTAATAGAAAGCCGCCCTATGCTTGCATTTTGAGCTCAAATATCTCGGTTACTTTAAGAGATATGAAAAATGTGTCTACTGATAAAATGTTGATGACGTTATGATAGACCTTTTATCAGTTGACATATTTTTGATATCTTGCAAAGGAATTGAGATAATTGAGGGTGTTACGGTAACTGGATCAATTTTGAACTGTTAGTTTGCTTGTCAAAATCATCAACATAAAATATTCTTATTTCTTGATAACTTGATTATGAAACACTTTATTGATAAGAAGTTGTTACAAATAATATAAAAATTGAACTGAAAACAAAAAGAAAGACCGGTAATCGCACAGTTTCAACTGGGTTTTTGTTGACTAGATTCGCTAGTGAGATGCAGTGTGAACAATTGAAATTCAAAAAAAAATCAAAGAAAACATTAAATGCACTTTCTTCCGAATATTTTCTCGCAGAATTGGTTCATGTTTCGAGCGGCCATCCCATTTTTGCAGCCAAATGCGGATGTGGATTCGAATGTGGCCGATGAGAAACGAAGTGCCAGACTACGGACAACTTGAGAGAATAGGGATTGATCGGATTTCGAGTGACACCAGTAGAGGTTCCAGTCACACAGTTCGAAGAATTCGGGTTTTGAGTAGACCTAGAAATACATGGAGAGTCGAATATAATCGAAAAAATAGACGGAGATAGATAATGTTGACGAAACAGACTTTTTTTGAAATATTTTTTTTCTAATTTTTTTTAGCTAAATACAATGATGCCTTAACACTTGTATTAGAAGAGCTCCTAAACTTGAAGGATCCTTCTTATTGGAGTGCTCCCATAGAGACCCCACGAAAAGAGAAGGACCGGTCCTTCTAATACGAGTATTACAGTATTTTCAAGGCCCGTTACGAAAAATACTATTTCAAAAATGTTACATGAGTAGTTACCATTATTTAGATTATTGAAACGAAAACACCCACCATGTCCACTACAGCTTCCTTCAAAATGTTTCCATTCTCCACCCCATCATTCGCATGGAAATAACAGAAATCTGAAACCAATTGAGCTCTTCCAACAGCGGAAAACAGCTCCGGCTCTTCGAACATGTACCTGAAAAAACGAGTTTTCAGATTTTATTTTCAATCCTCGAAACAAAAACCCACTTAAAAATGGCGGTCCATGTCAACGAATCGTAGTTGACTCTCATAAAGGAAGTGAAATTCAGATTGACCAAAAGTGGTGCAGATTCCGAAGCAAAAACGATGGATTCAGAGAAAACAAATTGGGGAATCGAAAGAGTCGAAGTCATTTTCAGAGGCCAAAGTGGTTTGGAGAGTTGTTGAAGACGAGAGGATGGTCCGTTGTTTTCAACAAGGATCGATGGATATCCTCCAGTAGTGTACCAGTATTCGTAAATCTGAGAAAATTTTCGGTTTCATCGAAATCACAAACATACATGTTTGCTCTTGAACGCAGTACCGTGCCAAATTTAGCTAGAAACCAAAAAACGGTCCTAGGAAATTTTGCACTAACCTGTCCGACAGTTGCATTCCGATCCACTCGAATCTGATCAAAGTAAGAAGTGAATGTGGTCAAATTGAATGTTGAATGAGAGGCAACCAGAGATTTGATGACAGAATACATGAATTGTTCTCCGACGACTGATTCCAAAGTGTCCAGAAGAACAACTCCTTTCAGATAACAGTGACGGTTGATCTGAAAATTTTGATTTTTTAAAAGCCGTTATAAAAGAAAACAATCTGTTTCAGATTGTCTACTTGTACCGAAAATAGTATTTATGCTGTTAAACAAATTATTGACTTATCAGCTGTCATACTGTATGTTACTGTGGTCTAATTTCAATGTATTGATGCCGAAAACTAGAGGGTGGGCGAGCTTAGGTCCGGTAGCAAAATTTTCGGTAACTTTTATTGGCTTTATACGATTTTATGAGATTTTTATAAGAATTTTCGTTTTTGTCCTGGCCTAATTTCTTTGAACTTCATCTACACAAAAAATCCGAACAATCGTAAAAAATAGCGTAAACAATGAAAACTATCGGAAAATCGAAAAAATAAGCGGAACAATTATTAGAAAAACATGTTCCTTTGGGGATTTCGCTACCGAACCTAAGCTCCGCCCCTCAAATTTTCGACAGCAACGCAAATCCAAATTTGGCCAGAGTACTAGATATCCCGGATCACAAACTCACCAATTCTTGATTGATCTTTGATGGCATGAACAAAGAATGTCCCGGACTCAAAAAGTCTTCAACCAACTGAATCTCCACATATTGTGCCAACTGGAACCTTTGAAGCCTGATCTCGTCAGTCAACAAGGCTTTGACTGCTTTCAAAGCCATCCAATCCGCCAAATCCTCTTGAAGACAAATCCAATTCCACGAATCAACAGTTGCTCGGTTTCCGATCCAGTGATGGGCGATTTCGTGGGCGATCTGAAGAGATCATTAGAAACGTATCAGTGGATGCAGAAATAGGAGAAGTGAAACACTGATTGTGAAGCATAAATTTTCAAATCAACAAAAAATTACGGTTTCAAAAATTTCACAAGAGTTTGTTAGGGAATCCATGTTTAACCGAAATGTTCAATTAAAACCTAGTTTATTGAAATTGTCTTAAACATAACTGATGGCTTTTCTCGAAACAAAACTGTAAACTTTCCTACCAAATATATCAAATGTGCATCATCTCCAGAAGTAGCAAGTGTTTCCGATACAGTAATATGTCCCCAGTTCTCCATTCCCCCATCGTAATCTTGAACCAGAATGAAGTCAATCTGAAATTTCATCATAATTGAACGAAATTTCGAAAAATGTGTTTTTTTGAGAATTACACAAATAATTCTCAAATGTGAATTTCGATTAGGATATACCCAGATGTCTATTGAAATCTAAAGTCATAACAAATTATATCAGAACAGTGAAACATGTTTACTTTTTACATAATTCTGATTAAAAAGCTGTATGGTTAAAATGTCATAATGCAAAAAAAAACTATTAAATTAATCACAATTTTGTTTATTTCTAATAATTCCCTGAAACCGACAATGTTTTTTCCTCTTACTTTATTCAACGGCAGTGGAACATCAATAAGCCCAGCAAGAATTTCGAAACTGGCCAACGCGCAATCCAGGACACGAAGAACAATTGCACGGGATTCTCCATTGACCCGAACTGTGACACCAAATGATGTTTGACGGGATAGCTGAAAATGGTTTGAAATTTAAGAAGGTAGAGTTTCATAGTGTCGATAGTATGGTCGATGTTGTAACTTTTTGATGTCTGTAAATTAAGAGATTGTCAATCGTAAATAAGATCTTTGAACGCTGAAAGAGAAGAGAAGTGGAAGAGAGAATCTGATGACCGAACTACCGTAGTCAGCAAAAATTCTCTACTCACATTTTTCTCGATTCTCGTCTGTTATTGGACACGCCCAAAAGTTTTTCTCTTTTTTAGTTCCGATTTTTGTAACAGCATAACTCTCGTGGCCACGGATGGCGAAATTAAAACTACAGTAACCTAAAGATAATTTTTACTTTTTCAATGGTTTTATTCAAACTTTCCCTGTACTTTAAAATATTGACAAGGTTGTCTTCTCCATTTGAACAATGTGAACATAATTGTCGACAATTTGTCTAAAACCCCTAAAAATGAAAAAAAATTAAGGTTACTGTCTTTTCCGTTCCGGGACCTTCGGTAGTGGTTTCAGGTGTTTTCCTTCCACGAATGTTTTCTGTTTGGTGTGTCATTTCTTGGAAAATCTCAAGAAAACCACTCCTAATGTTTTCAGTTTCTCTGATTTCATTTGTTGTAAGTGACTTGATTCAATCGTTGGTCTCAGAACAATTCACGTTTTCGTCAATTAAACTGATATAAATAATTGGAAGGGTAAAACAATTCCGGGCACTAAACTCCTGAAAAAAGAAATTAAAAGTCAGATCTCGGTACCCGCAAATTGAGGATTTTGTACCCCTTCATTAAGTGTGTTTTGAGCATAATAGGTTCACATTTAACCCTTTCAAGTCTGGCTCACTTTCAGTTTCTAATTGAAATGTTTTCAGTTTTCCTATTTCAGCTTACTAAAATTATTGGTCCCTTCTCTCACCCAAAAAGCCACTTTTCAAAAAGTCTGTTTTGATTGTAATGGCAAAAGCTTCAGAGAGCAAAAGTAAATAAACAATTAAATAATAGTTTGATTCAGAAGAAAAAAAACATGCAAATACGCCTTGTTTTTGTTTTCTGTCTGCCAAAAATTGTTGTTTTTGTTATTTTTCTGTCTGTGTGTTACTGAGCAAAAGGATTGGTAACTCACTCATTTCTCAACAAAACCACCTTTTTTTATTTTTTGGTGATGTGGTGTAGTACTATTTGTTTACACACATTGTTTATTTTTGGAATAGGGAGTTGTTTTGGGAAGGATTTTATCGACGGAAGTTTAGAGCTTAACGTTAACACTCTAATGGACCCAAACTGTCAACGTTGAGCTCATATATCTCGGTTCCTGTAAAAAATATCAAAAAGCTGTCAACTGACAAAATTACGTTGATATTATGATAAAAATTTTGCCAGTTAGCTACTTATTCATATCTTCCTCAGAAACCGAGATATAGGGGCTCAAAGTTGACGGTTCGTGTGGCCACATGCTCGAGATCATAAACAATCCGAAAAATTCTGGCCCCTCTTATATTGCCTGTTTCACTTATAACATTTGAAAGCTCTACTAGAGAACATCAATCATTTTTTGTATTCCTTGCTCACCTGTAAATTCGAATCCGGCATGACCGAAAAAGCGACCAAATAAGCCGGAAGCAATGGTGTCGCCTGGAAAATAGTCCTCTGCCACTTCCGATTCTCCACGTGTACATCCATTGCAATCGTATTAGATTGAGCTACAGTATCCGTTGGATGGACAATTGAGAGACGGAATAAGGCTTTGACAGCTGGATGATCAATACATGGGAATAGTTTTCTGGCATGATTCGGTTGAAGATGAGTTGTATAGAGAAGAGGATGACGTCTTTCGAATAATCCTTCTGACGCGTTTCCAATTCTACCGTTGTACTCTCCTGAAAACGAAATATCAAATTATTTGGAGTCTTTGAAACACTAATATTATGATAAGCAGGTCTGTTATTGTTCTGGTACAAAAAAGGAAGCTATGGAAAAGAAACACCGGTGGTCATGGCCGAAGGATCCCACAACGAAAACTACCGTAACCTAAAAATATTTTTCTGGATTTTTTTCTCGATTTTTGTGCGTTTTCAGTCAATTATTTTGCTATTATTTGATTTTACGACTTGCAAACGCACGAAATTGAGATAAATACAATTTCAGATTACGGTAGTTGTTGTGGGACCTTCGACCACGACCACCGGCGTTTTTTCCACAGCTTTTTGTTTTATAGACTAACATAATATTTTGGAGCCTAAATAAAGCAAGTCAATAATACAGAATCCCGCTTTACAACTATAAATTGTTCTTGAAACATTTGATGAATTCTAAAACTGGAAAACGTCGATTTTTTTTCGCACCAGAATAATATTCATGAAGTTTCATAGTTTTCTTGCTTATGAGGTTATTCAGTGAATTCAGCAAATTGCTGGTTTTTTCCTTATGCAGAAAGCAGAAAAACCAGCAATTTGCTGAATTGCTTTTCACTAAATAATCCCATTAGTGCAATATATTAAAGCCAGTCAGTTTGGGTTATCATTAAGCCGAACATTTGAAATAGTGAAAAAAAAATCAACCAGAAAAAAATAAACTTTCGTTTCTTTAGACTAGACTTGAATTCTTTATAATTCTTTATATGTTTCATTATGTTTTGATTATCATAAATGCACTTCTAATTTGATAAGCTATTTGTATTGTAAACCTTTTGAAATACTCACCAATGGTCAAAAGATACTGTCCTGGAAACAACGACTTCTCAAATTTAAACTCCACAGTTTCTTTTAGAATTTTAATCGACTTTAGAGAAGGTTCTGTTAGATCAGAAGAACGAATCAAGGAAATATTTCGGAATGAATGAAGATCCATTGCATCCAAAGTGATATTATCAGAAAGTGATGATAGATTAAAATGGAGGACCATGGATCCAGTGAATCCATTGAATTCGTGAATTGGGAGTTTGAAAAGTAGGTCATAGGATAGTGGAATGATATGGTGGGGATAGCTGAAACCCAGCTGGAATATCAAAGGGATCAAAATCAGAAGCTTCATAATTTTTCGAGATTCTCTTTCGTGTCCAATTGGTCAGTCAGTGCTTCTTCTTCTACTCCGATGGACGATTGAGAGAGGGTGTGAGAAGAGTTTGTCTAGTGTTGTGACCTCAGAGGTACCGGTACTTGACGAAGAACTTTTCATTTCCGTTTTCTTCCTCGAGCAAGCAAATATTAAGTTACCTTATTTCTCTCTCACTTCGTTTCGAAATGAGAAGATGATTGGGATGGTAAAAATAAAAAGAGAAGAGACTGTTTGTGTTCGGAGAGAGCTTACTTTTGTTTTTTTATTCCCATCGAAAGTTCTTTTTTTCCGAATCAGTAGTGGCCACTTGAAATGAAAAATAGATAGAGATGGGGAAATGAAAAAAATCTTGGTGGTCATTTCTCTTAAATTTAATTTTGTTGACCTCCGAAGCTTGAAATTGTTGGCTGGTTTTAAGTGGGATAGGAGGTGACAAAGGATTCAAAACTTAACTTTGCTGTCTAGAAAACAAAACTTTGAAACAGTAACAAATGTTTAATTTTTTTTTTATTTTGCCTGAAAAGCTCAATTTGGATTCTCACCTTCCTTTAAACATTTGAATTACCGCCACGCATTGGAGTTTGAGACCGAAAAAACCCCCGAACCGTCCACTTTGAGATTATATATCTCATTTCCTGTAAGAGATAGATTTTAGCAATATTGAACCGAAAAGTCATCTCGGCTTGAATTTTCTGCAAAAATGTATTCGAATTCCCACAAGAAATAAATTTACCATTTTCAGGTAATTTCCCGCTTTTTTATATTCTGAAAATTCCGAAATTTAACTTTGTTGACCTTAAAACCGGATTTAAAACCGAATCAAAATGAGTTCAGGTTTTTCAGTTACAATTATAGGTGATAAAGGATTAGAGTCTTAATAATGCTGTAGAGAGAGTAACATTTTGAAACATTAACAAATTTTGTTTTAAAAATTTCTTTGAATATTGATTAAAAACATTTTGACTCGAATTATAGAGCAGAAAAGATTCGAATGTATCTAGGATAGTTGTAATTAGAATTACCGCTAAAAATTAAAATTTCAGTTGCTACCTATCTGGTTTTCTACCTTTGATATAGGCAGTATGTACTTTGTAAAATAAGACCTAGAATCCTTTAGACGTTTTCGAAAATGAACTATTTGCATATTTCCCATTTTTTGGTGTTTTTCCAATTTTAAAATTGACAAAAAACAATTTTTCATAATTTCTTCAAGTAGGTGGTAGCCAAACTTGACACGTTATCCAATTAATATCTCCTTCTTTGTTTCTAGTCTGACCATTCGAATTCCACTTTGCATTGTTTCTTTTTCGAAATCCAATCCTTTCCTAGAATCGGTCAACCTATAGTTTTCAAACGGAAATCCAAAATCGGAGGGTTACTTTTTCGAACGGATGCGGAGAAGCAAAGATTGAAAGCTAAACAAAAGATAGTTCGAGAAAGTACTTGAGACAAAACGTTGTAGGTTTGTCGTGATTCTGAAATGTTGCAACTCGAAAGAAGATGATTTCGGTTCAAAATGTTGAGAGGAGAATATATCCAGCTCGGAGAATATCCAGCAAGAAGAAAAACGCAGTGTGGAAAGACTATCCAGTCGATGGGCAATGCCCAAACATGAGGAGTTGAAACAGAGAATAAACCAATGGTGTGTGGATTTTTTTCGAATTAATTTCTGAACCTTTATTCGGACATGAGAACATTAGAACTCTGAAAAATTCAGAAATTTCCTGGGACTTCCGAGATTTTGGAATCAAAAGTCGATTTTCGTATAAATCACTGGAAAACAGGGTTTCCCGCTCGAAACAGAAAACACATTTTTTGTAATCTGTTTTTGAAAATATAGTACCCTTTTTTTAAACTACAGTATTATCGAAATTTCAATTCAAAAATTCTTGGAATTTGCAGAATTCCGAACCAACCTGTTAACTGGAATCGCATTTACAAAATTTAAAAATGCTCGAAAACATTGAAATGTTAAAAAAACAGCAAATCCATCAGGCAAGGCAATCTCAATCTTAATTTTTACTTTAGTTTATGAAACATGGACAGGGAAAAGGTATAGGGAAGGAAAAGAATAAGAATAACTTTTAAAAAAGGGGGCAGGAGAGCTAGGAGTAGCTAGATCGTTGGATATCAATGAAATATTTTATACGCTTCTAGGACAGAAGATCTCACAATATGAAAACGGCTGAAAATGAGACAATTGCGGAATACTAGAATTAGATGGAAGTATAAGAGGATTGTGAGCAATAGTCATTACAACATAAAACATTTGGAGCTCTTGCGAATCTTTTGTATTTTAAAGGATTTTTTCTCTCGAGAATACAATAAATAATGTTCTGGTGTCGATATAGTTTAAAAAGAAAAACAAATTCAAGAAAGGCCTGAACGAATATACCATGTTATGGAACTTCACCAATTGATATCTCCTTCTACATTTCCAAGAACTCCTCCTCTGTTTTGTCCCATACTCCAAGGAAAAACGTTCTCCCCTCGATCAGAATTGATGCAACACGATTATCGAATTCTCTAACTACATATGAGTGGCTTGCTATTGGATCCGAATGACCAATATCATCCCAATCAAATCTGAAAAAAATTTCTCATTTCAAAGCTATCCCAAGTTGGTATATATTCTGAAAATATACCTTGAAAAATAACTTACACTCTAGGCAAAGTGTGCGTTGGTGGCTGCTTGTTTGCATCAATATATTTTACCCCAATTATATTCTGTATTATAATTTCGTTAAACTCGTGCAATGATACTGTAACTTTCAAGTATTCCAGCTTTCGAAAGGCTTCTCCGGATTTCCATTTTTTCACAAAGTTGATCAAATTCCATATTTTGCATTCTTTGCATTCCATAAATGCCTGCTTCCCTTGAAAATGATTTAAAATATCAGGAATAGTGATGCTGTCTTGAATTGTGTCAATGGATTCTGCCTGGTAGAATTTGGATTCTGGATTGAATGATAACTCTGAATTCGATGTGAACAGTTGAACAGATTTCAAAACAGGAGAAGAGGAAAAAAAGTTTTCAAGATTCCTCATCTTGAAGTCATCTGCGACGTACGTACTCATACAGAATGATACGTTTTGCAGGTGAGTAGGAAAATAATACTGCACGCCTCCAAAAAAGTCCGCTTTCCAATAATACGTTGAATTTCCGAAAAAATCAAGAAAATAGTTATGGACGGATTCGATTATAGATTCTTTGTCCGACTTGTGAACACATGCAACCGGATAAGGGTGAAAGCCAGTTTCGGGTAACCAAAAATCTTTATTACGTTCTCTTGTGAATAATCTGAAAAAATGATACTTGTATGAGTTACTTTCCATTTCAACTCACCGAAAATCTATTATCTTTTCAGATACGTTTAACTGAAAATCAGGAATTTCAGTCTTCTCGAATTCTTCAAATCTCATTATGACGTCTACATCTGGTTCGCGGGGAATATACACACATAAATGATTTTTCCCATCAGTGAAATACACAATTTTATTGATACTTTTCAATCTTTTCTTTTGGGACGATTTTATCAATTTCTCCATATTTTTGGAGACCAAAGAAAGTAGTAATAATTCGGAAAATTCCATGTTTCGGAAAATCTCGTTTTGAACCAAACCTGGATATTTAGAAAGAATCATTTTTAGTTGCTCTGAAAATATTCGAAAAATTGTAGAGAAGCAAGAAGGATGAACAGAAAAACAACATAAGAATTAGAAAAGAAGAGACGCCTAGTGACGTGGCAGAGGACACAAAAGACAAGAGCCTTAAAGAGTCCTACGATGGTTATGACCTTGACGGGCAACATACACACTCTCTTCTTAGCCAGAGGAATGAAAAATCAATGAAAGGTGAATTAGTCGATTGGTGGTATCTTCTTGGCACCTCTATCCTAGTTGTCTGAAGATATAATAATATTCTATCGCAAGATTGAGACCTGCTGATTAAAAAAAAACAGTATATCCTCATAGAAAGCAGGTTCAAAACAGTGCTCCAGTTCTGCTGAAAAATCTGAAGAGCTTAAAAACTTATGTTTGAATATAGTCCAAAAAATCATAACGATTGAAACTTCCAAATGCGATGATGTGGTGACCTGGAAATCCGGTTAGAAATTAGGACAAGGCTTGAAGTGTTATAGGCAGAGTGCGTACAATGTGTATCTGGTATCTTTCAACCCAATTTTCTCGAAATCTGCCCAGACGACAACTATCAGCTTTCAGATAATACAGGTCACGATATGTAGAGCCACACTCAAGTTGGGGCCTTACCTAGTAAAAGTTCCCAGTACTCAATTCCTTTGACAGACCACCAAACACAAAGCATCTCATTTTACACGTGATATTTAGGTTTCAGGGCGTCCAGAGCTAGCTCTCCTTTGCCAATCAGGTGACCCTTCCCGACAATGTTAGTTCAACTTATCTATGTGTTATCTCGGAAAATTAGATTATCCGGCCAAAGAAATGATAGTAGAAACATGCTCATGTCTACACGGCATCCATAAGTAATCGTTCAAATGGGGTACGAATCGACCAAATTTCTGACTTTGCCAAGAGACTTCAATACGGATGCCTTCCCGATTTTTAGCGGTTGAGTTGCCATTTTTCAAGCTAAAATCCCCTGCTTGAAATTTTTCGAATCAAACTCAAATTGTAAGCGATGAAGGAACATGTTGCTCATATAAAGTCACCTTTTTTGCGATTATTAGGTATTTGAAGACCAGATAGAAATGAAAGTATTATCATGTTGCGTATGTGCATTAGGCCAGGGACCAAAAGAATCGACATTTCTTCATAACGGAGTGATATAAAAATCGACGATCTAATAAACTTTGATATTATCTCTTCAATGAAAAAGCAAATCCCAAAAAGAAAAAAAAAACTTTCGAATCAAAATAACATTTACAGACTTGTTAAAAGTTGATCTCTCTGAAAATTTTGTCTGCCCGCGATTTTTTAAGTTTTCTGAATTATGCCCGCCAAATCTTGCACTATCTCATTTATTTGTTCATTCTTGAACGAGCTGATTATTTTCGACAAAGGCTTAGTAATGAACATACCTCGATGTTCTATTTGCTTGATTAATTATGGTAAGTGTATTTAATCATTTTTAACTCTAACGTTTGAATGTTTCGGTCTATTGTTTTTGCCTGAATTTTTCTCTTTGTTTCGGCAGTGTAAGTTTACGTTAAACCGGGCGCACTTGCGTAATTGCGGAGTGTCGTTTGGGAAGTGGGAGGCAACACATTTTTCTGTGTCTCGCCGGAATCGTCAGCCACTCTCCCTCGCAAAGGTTGTTCGCGTCGTCAAGAAGGCTGGAAACGCTAGAAGACTGTTGTTGCCCTCTCCACTGTCATCGATGATGCTCACCTCTACGTGGCTCGAATGATCTCTCTTGCCGCTTTCTATGTAGAGAGAGCTCGTGCCAGAACTGTTGCCGCCGTGAGAAGCACTTTGGACCAGCTCCAGGAGTGTCACACTCTCAAACCGAGCTAGTTGTCAGATCCAAGGAACTCAAGTTCAAGCGCGATATCAGACACACAGCTTCCAGAGCTTACGACAACTGTTATTTTGTTCACATGGTTCTCATTTTCGAATCATGCAGAACAAAAATGTTCTATTGTAAGCGAATTCGGGAATTTCTGATTAAAAAACGGAGGACATCAGCTCGAAAAAAACTGAATCGAAGTCAATTTCAGCTGAAATCAGCTAATTCTAGCTCTTCAACGTTTTCTTTCAAATTCGGTTTTTCAGACACAAGGGAAAAAAGGCCAAGAGTATTGACTTGCGGACATAGCTTCTGCAAACCGTGTATTTTGGAAGCATCGACAGTGATAAGACGAGAAAGTTCTGGACTTATACGCTCTATCAATTGCTCGGAGTGTCGCGTAAGTCAAGGGAATTGAAACTTTATAGCAAAAAAATCGATTGGAAATTAACTTTTTCGATTCATAAGTTGGCAATTTCAACGTAAAAGTGTGGCTTTTGGATGGAAAAGGATTGTTTGCCTGTTTTTGAAACATTTAACTTTTCCAGGAACCATGCTTGCTAAGAGAAAAGTTTTCCCATCCCGGCCGGCTCGGGTGAACGAAATTCAGCCCGAGACCCTTCTGAAAAAAGGAATTTCGATAAAATGTTCTTAAATAAACGGGTTTTTTAAAATGACTCTTCAAAATGTTTGTCTCAAAAACCCGGGCCAGCCGGGCCTGGCCGGGCCGGACCGGACCAGTGAAAATTTCTTCACCGGCCCGCGACATGTATGCCAGCAACCAAATCGACTCTCAACCCCGATCTCTAGAAATTTTTAGACCGGTATTTTCGCTAAAATATATAATACTATTTAGGCCCTATCAGAATTCTCCGAAAGCAAGATTCCAATAAATTATGAGTTAAGCACCCTTATTGGAGAATTGAATCTGGACGTGCCATTAGTCAGTTGTACTGAGTGTGAAGATTGGACAAGAACGACTAGGTGAGTTTTTTTTAAGTGGGCTCAAAAACATTCGTTTCAACCAAGGCTGTGCAAAATGGCGGCTAGCCGAGGCCGGCCGCGGCTATTCTTATAAAAACGCGTGAATTAAAAATCATTTAGTTTTTGAAGAATTTATTTTTTTTGTCCTATTTTTCAAAAAAAATCTACGTTTTTCTTGAAACAATTACAGGCCGTGAAATGCCGCACGGTCGGCCTCGGCTAGCCGCGACTTCTTCAAATATTTTTTCTGAAGCCGCGGCCGGCTCGGCCGTAGTGAAAGCCGGCCGTGGCACAGCCTTGCAATCATCATATAATATCAGAATTTATGACAGAAATGATCACGCAAAGGCTCGGATGGTTTTTATGAGCCGAAATCGGGCCAAAATTGGGCAAAAACGGACCAGAAACGGTCCCTACCATAGCTTCCTTCAGCCTGAATATTTTTGAACCAACTAAACTGGATATGATAGAAGAAATCAGAAACTACAAAATTTGACTACTTGGGTTACTGTATCTTGTCTATGAGCAAATTTACAAAGAGCCAAAAACGAATGCACCGCGTAGCTCGGGTGGTTTTTGTCTTGTAACTTTGTTCATAGACAAGCCTTGGTTTCAACGCGAAAAAAATCGACAATGCAAAAAAAAGGGCGAAAAACAATGTTTCCCCACAATTTGCGGCCGATTTTGCCCAAAAATTTTCCCTATTTTTTTACTATTTTTTCAAAATTTTCAGCATATGCATATGCACCACATGCACCTCCATCGCACACAACAATACAGCAGCGGACATTCGAAATAAAAGAATCGATATAAGAAGTATTTTGAAGTGTTCGGCTTGTATACTGAGACACCACGCATCCGACGGACATTCATTCTTTTGGGCGCACACTCTGATACTGGCTGTAGATCAAGAACTTACGGAATTAACATTAAGGAACCACCCAGAAATTGTGAGAAACCACCCAGAAATTGTGTCTAGATATTACTGTAAAACTTGTATTGTAGAGCCGGCACTTCTATTGTTCCAAGGAACCTCCGGAGGGACCTTCTATTACAGGGCCCTTCAATTAGAGGGAGCACTTCTATTTTTCCAAGCCCCGCTCAGAGGGCCCTTCTATTAGAGGGGCCCTTCTATTAAAGGGGCTCTTCTAATAGTTTTACGGAGAAAAAGAAAAATCATCTAAAACTCTGAGTTTCCAATATTTTAATTCGATTTCAGGCTTCATCCGCTCAAAAAATGTCTTCTCATCATTGCAAGTCGCTTCATGGAATCTTGTGCAATGTGAAACACAAGAAATTTGCAAAGGAAATCGAGAGACTGATGCCGAAATTTAAGCGTGCAAATCATGGAAAGTGTAAGCGATTTTATTTTTATCTCAACTCGATAACACACATCGTTGATTTACAGATCAGTTTAATGGTCCGGAAGATATAATATTGGAGGAAGTTCGTCAACTAGGGGCCAATTTAAGAGCTACCGGCAATCTCGTATTGGATTTTTTAATCGTGACAAAAACTAGAATGAAATTCAACACTACTCATAACTCAACCAACTCGTATTTATAACCTATTTCGACAAGTATTATGGCCCGTTGCCGCCTGACGCCTGGATATGTTTATTTGCGGCCGGAAATTTACTCAAAATCGCATCGTCGGTCGCACAGCGAAAACAACAGTTGATGCATGTGCCTTTAAATACCGTACCTCGGACGTTTTTTATTTTGGACCCTATTTGGCTGTTTTTTTCTATTAAAAAAAAATAAATTTAAGATTTATACGAATTACACAAAATTAGACAGAAACAAGCGAAAAAATAAGAGAAAAAGGCAAAAATTCAATAAATATTGAGGTACTGTATTAAAGGCGCGTGCAATAATTTGAAAAATACAGTAGTGTTCTCTTCGTGGGAGCTAAGCTCCGCCCACCGTTGTTTTCTCGGCCGCAACGTGCATTGAATTCAGACAAGAGTAATACAGCTGTCGTGCCCACCTTCGTGAATACCACCGGACGCCGGCTTCTGCTTCTCTCGCGTGGCTCAGACGGTAGCGACACCGCATATTCAATACTCCCCCACAAGTTCAACCCCTCGCGGGTTTATATGAACGGAATTTCTAGAACATCTTTTTGTAATGTCCTCGCCCTTAAATGATTACAAAATTTTTCACATCAATTACTTTTTTTTCCCTCAAATTTCAGCCCTATTAAATTATCTAGATTTTACAGTTACACCAACTTCAGGAGTTAATCATTTTAGATGCGCAATACATTCCAGTCCCTCATAAAAGCAATTTTTTCGGAATCAAACGTGGGAATTCTGTTGTCAAAAATGCAATATTCTTTCCAGTTCCAGAACTTATCTTTTTTCTGAATATAATCGAGAATTGAAACAAATGTCTGATCACTGAAAATATTTTTTTGTTACCACCAGCAAATTTACTTGATAATTTCTAGCAGATAGTGTATACCTTGAAAGTGTGTAGCCCTACTAACTCTGTTGTCAAACAAGCCGTTCTGGCCGAGTGGTCTAAGGCGCTGCGTTCAGGTCGCAGTCCTCTCAGGAGGGCGCAGGTTCGAACCCTGCGGACGGCAAATTCTTTTGCAAATTCTTTTGAATGAGAGGGAAAAGGAACCATTTTCACAGTTTCAAATGGGTCATAAGAATGATTTGGAGTTTTGGTTATTGTTTGGACTCACAAGGGAGTTACTTGAGGGAGCGGGTTTAACTTTTTTGAAATTTTGGGAGCAGATAGAAGAGCTTGTGAGGATTCCAAATCTGTTAAAAAATCAGCAAAATTCTCACGTGAGCTGAGTTATGACCTAGAAAAGTTTCCCTATGATTAAGCAATTTCTCGTGAAATTTTTTCACGGAATAGTGTATTTCTTTAAAAAAAATAGATTTCAATCAGCAGTGTGGTAAAGTGGTAAAATCGCAAGTTCAGAGGAGGAAGGTTGTAGGTTCGATTCTCCCGATCCCAAAAATTTTGCAAAATTTTTTTGATTCATTTTAAGCTGCCATAACTGGCTCTGGAATAAAATTTACGAAATTTAAACATGTTTTTCGGGAGTTTCTCGTTATAAATAGGCATTTTCCAGAATAAAAACAGACATTTAATTTTTGAAGAAATTCACAAATATGCTCATGAGTTCATCGAAGGTTTTTCAAAAAAATTTTTTCAATTTTTTTTTGTTTTTTTATTGAAAAAACAGTTGAGGATTCTAAACACATCGGTGGCATTCGATGACAAACTGCTGGAAACATATGTTCTTGGCACAATATGCGCATTTGACCATTGACAAAGTTTTGCACCCAGATAATTGACACTTTCCATAAACTTTCCGGTCGAAGCAATATTGAATTGGTCTGTCACATTTCGGAGCGCAACTGTCCACATAGCCGTCCTTCTCTAAAGTCCTTCTATTTTCTTTGCGCATATTCCGTCAAGTTCTTCATGAACTTCTTGAATTGACGGAATATCAAAGTTTCTGAAGTGTCTGAAAACGTCCCTCATTTTTTGATTGCAGATGCTGAGCCAAGCATATTGGCAGATGTGCTCTCCCATCTTCCAAGAATGGAGACAGTATGCCTGGTATTCTGGCGGTTATGTGGACAGTTGCGCTCCGAAATGTGACAGACCAATTCAATATTGCTTCGACCGGAAAGTTTATGGAAAGTGCCAATTATCTGGGTGCAAAATATTTTCAATGGTCAAATGCGCGTATTGTGCCAAGAACATATGTTTCCAGCAGTTTGTCATCGAATGCCACCGATGTGTTCAGAATCCTCAACTGTTTTTTCAATAAAAAAACAAAAAAAATTGAAAAAAAATTTTGAAAAACCTTCGATGAACATATTTGTGAATTTATTCAAAAATTAAATGTCTGTTTTTATTCTTGAAAATGCCTATTCATAATGAGAAACTCCCGAAAAACATGTTTAGATTGCGTAAATTTTATTCCAGAGCCAGTTATGGCAGCTTAAAAAAAAAATTTTGCAAATTTTTTTGGATCGGGAGAATCGAACCTACAACCTTCTTCCTCTGAACTTGCCGTTTTACCACTTTACCACACTGCTGATTGAAATCTATTTTTTTAAAAGAAATACACTATTCCGTGAAAAAAATTTCACGAGAAATTGCTGAATCATAGGGAAACTTTTCTAGGTCATAACTCAGCTCACGTGAGCATTTTGCTGATTTTTTAAAAAGAGTTGGAATCCTCATAAGCTCTTCTATTTGCTCCCAAAATTTCAAAAAAAGTTAAACCCGCTCCCTCAAGTAACTCCTTGTCAGACAAGCTCACAAGTTTTTTTTTTTAAGTTTCGGTTCATAACGAATTTTTGAAAATTCCGTGTGATTTTTCCAGGTACATTACTGACAAAATAAATGATTGTGATGTCACTAGTCACTTTTGCTATTTTTTGTAAACCAAAAACAAATCGAAAAATTTTCTCTGTTTCACTAACTAGGAAACTGTTCGTTTTTTTCAGATATCTGCTACCATCCAATCAATTGCATCCCCGCCCCAATTCTAGTTCATCTTTGAAAGTTTTCATCCTCCACTGACCTTTCCCCCTCTCTCCTTTTTTTCAAAACCCAAATATTAAAGTGCATTTTTGAAAATGCTTCCTTCCAGAAGACGTAAGTAATACAATTCGTAATCTTATTTCTTCTTCATTAGCTCAACATGTTCCCACTAATCCTTCTCTATATATAGTTTCACTTTTAAAAAGTGCTCCGTAATTATTTTTAGATATCAAAGTACAATTTTCTCGTAAAGCGTTTCTTTCTTTATGGAAGATGCTAGAAAAAAAAAGAGAAACTTTGTAAACAACAACATTTGAGCAACAAGAGACTCTTCAGAATTGCAAAGCATCCTTGTAGAAGAAGAGAGATGAGGATAGAATTGGTTATGAGGCGAGAACCTGGTTGAAAAATTAGTTTTTTAATCGAATTGAACTTGGAGAAGCTGATAAAAAATTGTAGGAAAAAAATTAATCTGTGTTCATAGATATTTAAATGTTCATAGATACAATAAATGTAGGTTTTTCAGTTAAGGTTTCATCGAAGTCACAAAACCGCAATAAATTTTTTGTGAATACTAAAATAAAAAAATGTTTCATAAACTTGGAAAATAGAGAACTCTAGCACATTTTGCCAATTTCTTTTATTTAGAATCATTCGGAATAAATGAAATGCGTTTTTGAAAGGCAACACAGTCAACTTCGCCTCAATTTATATCGGTTCATGTAAAAGATATAAAGAAGTGGTCAACTAACAAAATGTTTCTGATTTTATAATGAACATTTTTTTAGTTGACAACTTTTTGATATCTTACATGGGAACAAAATAATTCCGGTCGAAGTTTACGGTAGTACCGTAAATATTCCAAAAGAACGCCACACAAACAGTCAACTTTGAACCCATATATCTCACTTCCCGTGAAAGATATCAAAAATGTGTCAACTAATAAATGCTACTGATCTTAAGATAAACATTTCGACAGTTTACAACTTTTTGATATCTTATTTAGGAACCGAGATATTTCGAGTCAAAGTTTAAAGTGGCATTTCTCAGTTGTCACTTCATTGAGATCGATCGAATTAACTTCTTATTTTTTGGAGAAATTTCGGTTTCTTTCCAGATAACCTGTAATAAAATTCTACTGTTTTTGTTCCCAAATCACCATTTTCAGACCGAAACGCTATAATAAATCCCCTCTCTTGAATTGAAAACCTTCCGACAAACAGTACATGTTTTTTGACATTTTTTATGTTGTTGTTGATTTCTTTTTTTTATTATCGTGCACTTTTTGTTTTCCAACTTTTTTTGTTGGGGAGATTCAATTCGATTTGTTTGGACAGATATATCATAAACATGTCGGGAATGTCAATAACTTTTGTTTTTCTTTTTTCGGAGACATCTGATGGGGGAGAACTAAATAAAGAAAGAAAAAGTGAATTTTGAAGCAATACTTTTGGGTGGAAAAGTAGAAGTAATAAAGTAGAAGTAAAAATAAACTAATAAATTAGGAAAATCTGAAATTATGAAAACAATTTGAAACTGGAAAGTTAATTTTCAAAAACCTGAAATTTACAAAAACGTTTAAATTGTGGTTTTTTTTTTGAGTTCAATGGCCTCGATGATCTTGACATTCTTTCAAAACCCTTCTGGTCCGTTCTGAAGGCGTCACGACATCTTCAGAATAAATTTTTTCCCCAGCTGTCTGTGATCATATTGCGTGTCTAAAAGTTCAGGTGTGACTAATCATCAAGCCTTCATTTCCCTCAAAAAACTTCTCACGAACATGCCTTTTCATTTTTAATTTGCATGAGAAAAACCTGCTTCTGTTCCATATGATCCATTTCATCTACCGTACTCCGCTAGACACAAAAAACTCGTTGTTGGCTGGATTTTTTCGTCTTTTCAACATCGGTTCTAGTGGGACAGCCTGAAGAAAAAACGACGAAAAGATGCAAAAGTAGTCCTCGATGTGCACTTTTTCGTGGCGCCGGAGGGCGCCAGAGTAATTCAGGAGACGAAATGTAGAAGACTGACGAAAAAATCAAC